AATGCAGATTGCCCCTGGCTTAAATTGGCTGTAAATATTTTGCTCTAACTGACCAATCAGAGGACAGAAAATGGTGACGTAAAGGTGGGGCCGCTTCTGGCACAGAGGCGCAAATCTGAAATCTGATTGGTTGCAGAAAACGTTCTTTACGAGTATTGTTAAGGTAAGATCACGGCCCTGGGCAGATTTGATTGACATAGCAACACACAGAGGCTGAAATGTGATTGGACAAAAAATATAGCAAAAACATAACTGTAGCAGCCAAGAGAAATCCTACAAAATTAAGACAATGGATTTTTTTGAATAAATGAATATAGTTGGAAAGAAGAAAATGAAAGTATATGTGTAAGTAGGTTAGTGTTTCTGATTGATTTTAGGCCAATAGTATCATCTGATGCTGTTCCATTTGAGGAGTTGCCCCGCTCTTCAAGAAAAAACATAACTTATAAGTTGGAATTAAAGGGAAAAACTCTAGTATTTTAAAAACCAAATTTGAAATTAATGCTTAACAGAGTTGCTTAGATTTACCTCACCAGATCAACACTAGTCTTTGGAGAAGCTAAGTTTCGCATCATTGAGTTAGACTAAACAGGCTTTGAATTAACACTGTACTTTCAAAATGCAACACCAACACTGGAAATCTAACGAACTTGTGCAAGCAGAGCAGGAGTCTGGTTCACATAGCTGGCTTTAAGTAGGGCCTGTTTCTGGTGCATGTTGGACCCCACTAGGGGCCCGCTGTCACTGGTCCTGTTCAAAACTTTTAAGGACTGGATTATAGGCGCAGCATAAGTCCGGAAGGGGTCTGGTTAGATGACCAGTGGGTTTGTCTCTGCTTTTGTGGATATTGTGGTTATGCTGGGTCAAATTCTACTATTCTAGAGGTAGATAGAGTATAGTGAAGCAAACCTGTTATTTTTTGTGACTGAGATATTTAAATGGAATATAACTGATATATAGGAATTGCTTCATTTATATCATAACTATTTTTCTGTTATACCTATGTTCCTTTCGAAACAAAACAACAAAAGATCCTGTGCATTAAACCAGATGTAGTATTGTTTGCTCAATTAGACTGTGTTTTTTTTTTTTTTTTATTAACTAATTAATTACTTACTTTGACTTGCTTTGTATGTATTAAGTTCATTCTAAGTAATTGGTGAGTAACAATAGAAACAAATCCACAGATGGATGGTTTGGGCCGTTGATTAAGATTTATATGGGTTAAATATACTTAGGTAATACAATTAAAACGGGAAAATAAAGAGAAAATCTGAGCCTGCGACAGTCTTCCTTTGCAATAGGAAGACAACAGCAAAAGTAAAATGGTTTTCTGTGAGATATACTAGACTAAAATATAAAATCTTTTCATCTTTCCTCTTCTAGAAGAAGAGCTGGACCTGGATCACAATCAATGGGAGGACATCCATGTCATCACAGGAGCTTTAAAGATGTATTTCCGTGAGCTGCCAGAGCCGCTGTTCCCCTTCAGGTTCTTCGAGCAGTTTGTGGAGACAGTCAGTGAGTAAATCCAGAGATATTATCTTTGTTTTGTGTTTCTTCCTGAGTTATTGAATTTAGATTCTGTCAGATATAGCTAAACAATGAAAAGTTGCACCAGTTATGTTTAAATCAGATCAAATAAACCTCAAAATTTGATATATGAATATTGTTTTCCCCAAAATACTTAGATGAAGATGTTCTAATAGTAGTCCTTCCTTAGAGTTAAACTGGCACTGCTGCTTGTTTTATTGTTCTTTCCAACAGAGATCAAAGAATCAAAACAGAAAATACAAGCTGTGAAGAAACTGATTCACCAGCTACCAAAACCCAACCATGACACCATGAAGGTGCTCTTCAGCCACCTACAAAAGTATGTCTGTTTACACATATACATATATATTAGGAGTGTTTCTGATTTTTTGACCCTTCTTCCAGAAGTGAATTTGTGAGGTCACACACCGATGATGAACCAGAAGGCCCGGCTCTCAGTCTCTGCTATGATGCATTTAAAATTTTTTAATCTTAGTAGAAGAGTCTGTTATGCATATGAATAACAATGAGCGGGTATCATTAAAAGAATTTATCATTCTCTAATTTCAGCTCAATTAAATGTGGATTTCAAAGTACAAAGGAAATGATGTTTCCAGATTGCATCTAATCAGTCCCATATCTAAATGTATTTGTGCATACTTATGTGCTTTACTTTTTATACTCCAGAACTACATGTGACCCAAACATGAAGCTTTTATAAACAAAAATGAAATGACAACAGAAATACATTTAAACGGAACCTCAATTAAAGACACCAAACCAAAACAGAACCGGTCATTAGAACCAGATTCAGATACAGTGTTTCAGGAGATTTTCTTAATCTAATGAATCTACCTCTTGTAAATATATTTCCTTTAACTTTATACGTGTTGTGTTTTTCCTCAGAGTTCTGGTTTTCTCAAAGAAGAATCTGATGTCCACTCAGGGTATTGGTATTGTATTTGGTCCGACACTGATGTGGCCTGAGCTGGACGCAGGAAACATGGCTGTTAACATGGTTTACCAGAACCAGATCGTGGAGTTCATCCTAATCGAAAGCCGAGAAATCTTTAACCTTGACAAGAAGTAAGAAGAGCAGGAAGTTGGATGAGACTGAGGGACTCATATTCACATATCACCAGTAAATAAAATAATTTAGCTGATGCAGAGTTAGTTACATGGAGTGTAAAAAGGATTGAATGTATTAAAATGTTTGATCAAATTTCATATGATGATTTTTTTAACACAAACATCTGAAATTAACACAATAAAGCACAATGTTTTATTTCTTTTAACCTTACAACATAACTGTCATTGCAGCTTTTTTTTTAAATGTATATAACTTAGGTAAAACTGTGAAGTGATTATTTTCAAATTAGTAATGTTATATTGGGATATATTGAACTGAATGGTGTATGTGAAAGGATATTATAGACCTCCATCTGCCTGAAAGCCTGTGCTGACTGCTGGCCTTAATCGTACTCAGATTTTCAATAATCTCTGGATGTGAGTGAGATTCTCTCCTGCTTCCAACACTCCTGGTCCAATCTGGGGTAAATTACTACAAATCTGACCCCCAAACACCTTAAATCATTGAATCAGTTGAGCTTTTTGTTCAAAAATATCTGAAGGACGTCACATGCCCCCTGCTGGACACTATGTTTATCAGCAGATGTTGCAGCAATGTGGGACAACTTTGTCTTGTATCACTCTACAACCTCCAGACGCATGGATCCTGTTTATAGACTACAGCCCAGCTTTAACAGTATTAACCCAGGCAACCTCCCCCTGAAGCTCACCCAGCTCACAGTGCCAGCCTCCAACTGACCAGGATCACGCAGTTACTGACGCACCAGCAGCATCAGTTTAGGCTGAGGAACGTATTTGCCAGCTCAATAACCATCAGCATTTACTTTGTGGCATTCCGCCCCCACTCCTTTTCTCCCTGCACATAAATGACTGCACCTCTGCAGGTTCCCCTGTGAAATTTGAAGGTGACACAGCTGTTAGTGGTCTGATCCAGGACAGCAATGAGACTGCAAATAGACTGGTGCCAATGGTGCATGCAGAACTGTTTTAGGCACTTTTATGTCCTTTGCAACACGCTATCTACTTTTGATCACTTTCACTTCTTAGGAATAATCCTTACAGTACTCCTAAAAGGAGAGGTCATTAGGAAAGCCTGGTCATTGTGAGCACCATAGAATAGATAATAGTCAATTTTTCTGCACACAACGATTGCAAAATACAACTAGTTCAACATTCTAAGTCCATTCAGAGCTGCTTCATGTGCAGTCAGATAAAAAAAAAAACATTATTACTCTGTTTTGGTATGCAAAACATTTGGAGTTCTTAAGTTTAACAACTTATTTTTTATTTAAAGATAGAAGCAAAAATATATCAGCATGTTAAAGTCTGACTGGATCAAAAAATAGTTTCATTCTGAGCAAAAATAAAATTAGAGGCAAGAAATCTGACATCAGTAACACTTTATTCTATCATTGAGACCAGAAAGTTGTGCTTGAAATATTGAATTAAAAATTATGATCTGCCATCAATAATAAAACATCTCGTATCAGTTTAAAATGAAATAGTGAAAATAAAAACATAAAAAATAAATAAATGACAGAAAAAAATAGCTATCTACAGTTACTTAAATATTGCAAAAATACAGCAAATAATATGAAAAGATTGTATAAATATACAGTGTAAACAGAAATAGTATAAACATACAGCATATCAATGATGTAAAACATTACAGGGTCATAAATTCTCATGTAATTATGATGAAAGTTGTGCTTAAAAGTTTACATACAATCCCATTAAAAAAAAATGATAGACACTAGTAATTCAAGTAATGTAAAACTGAAAAAAGTAGTAAAGGTAAACATTAACAAAAAGATAATTTAGTAGAATAAAATATTGATTTGGATTTTATTTTTAAAAAACAAATATCGAAAAATCTCACGAACAGTGAACCAACATACCAGTCAACAGGTGCAGAAGTCTGACTGAAAATTTCCTGAACATTATAGAAAACACCTGATTTCAGTGTGTTTTCAGTGTTGCTCAAACAAAAATTTCAGTTCGGTTCTCCATCAGACATTTTTACATTTATATGTATACACACACACACACACACACACACACACACATATACATATATATATATACATTTTATATATATATATATATATATATATATATATATATATATATATATATATATATATATATATATATATATATATATATATATATATATATATTTATATACATATATGTGTTTACACACACACACACACATTCAAAATGAATGTCATGATTTCCATGTTTTATCATTTTTACTTTTGCCAATTTCAAGTAATTTTACTAACAGCTGCTTTTTTTCTGTCTTTATTGTATGTAAACTTTCAAGCACAATCGTATAATTGTAATTATATAGTAAAATAAGGATAGAACAACAATTTTAGTTTAAGATCAGTGATTGTTATTATAAATTACAAAAATAACAACTACAACACAACACTTGCATAACAGGTAGATACCACAGACATAAAAACACCACAGTTCCAACAGATACTTTACACTTTATGACGTTTAGGTGGATTTCGTTTACTGCATTTTCACTGAAGGAATGTTAGAAACTATCAGGAGAAGTTGAGGAATTCTCCAGCAATAACAAAAAACATAAAAAACAAAATACAAAAAGTATCAAAGTATCAAGTAATAAAATATAAAATGTTGAAAAGGCAACACTTTTATTGGTGAGTTTGCATTAATACAAAAATAACAAACTAGAACATGGCAGCTACTAAAATGTCAAACTCCATATTAACAGTAAAATAATAAAACAATGATATGCAAACAATTTCAGTCATTTGAAGTACATTATCTTTTGCCAGTAAGATACATATAAGTACAATTAAATAGTTTAAAAGCAGATAGCTAAATAAAAAGCTTATTCATACTTAATCACATTGATTGGAGCTAGAAAAAAATATTTTAATAATTATTGGCAGTTGTTGGATGGACAAAGACAGGTAAAAAAACAATAACATAAGAACATTTTTTAATTTTGATTTAAATAAAGACCGATATAAATATGACCTGAGGAAAAAAAAATGTCTGAACTTGATTTTATCAGGAAAGTGTCAAACAGTTTAAAATTTCTCTAAAGATAGTGCTTTTAGCATTTTACTTTAATGCATAAATTTGCTTTTTTTGGTCATACTTAGGCTAAAACATCAGCAGAAGCTTTAGATGCTGCATTCTTTAGTTTTAACACTGCAGAAGGGAAAGCTGAATAACATCTGTATATCAAACCAACAGTAAACAAAATATCTTGCTTGCTTTATAAGAGAATAAGATACTGAAATGGCAAAGGCAAAATCTTACAATTTGCTTAAGATAAAAGTTGAGGATAACGAGAATGTTCCCAGTAAAGGCAGACCGGTGAAGACAAGAAACGTCAGTAAACTTCTTTAGAAAACAAAAAAGGATCCAGAGTCCCTTCATATCTGTGAAGACAGAAAGTCGTAAATGTAAATTATTACATTAAATGCAAGTAAAAAGCATGTGTGTGTGTATATATATATATATATATTTTTTTTTTCTTTTTATTTTCTTAATCTATAAAGAAACATTCAATTGTCCAGTTGTATTTATTTTCATTATTTTACTTATACTTTAGACAGCATGTGATTTGCACAGAAAACTGGGCAGGCAGGACTATAATGACAACTCAGTTTCCAAAAATTCTATTATTTAATGACAGTCCAAAGTTCAGTACATCAGTCAAGATGACAGAGGTACCCAAAAACACTGGGGAGAGGCAGGGTCAGAATAAAATAATGTCAAAAAAAATCCACTATAGGCAAGAAAGCTTCGGGAAAAAGGGCTGAAAAGCCTGCTGGAAGAAACAAAGACGGCATTGGTAGTGCAGGCAGCAAAGGTGGGACAAAACAAAGCTGCCATATCACAGTGATGAGACGTTAAACTGACAGTTTTCTTTACAGTTTATCCACACTTAAATAAATACTGGGTTGATATGTCCTAACATAGAGTGAACTTCATCAATAAATACATGATAGAATAAAATTTGCAGATGATTTTAGTAAGTATAAATTAGTCAAATTTACAGAGGCAGAGAGCTGTAATCTATCTAAAAAATAAATAGAGCAGTACAAATTGAAATAAAATATATATTGGAATTAATTAAATAGTTATGGTATTCTTGCAGTTTGCTTGTGTAATTGCAATAAATATCTTTTGCTTATTTCTTACTTTCCATGTGTTACAGTGAAACAAAAGAGTATTCAGCCTCTGATTATACAAGTTCTTCTACTTAGAAAGTTAAGAAAAGTCTGAAATTGTCTTTAAAGGTATATTTCAACTATGAGAGATACAATGAGAAAAGAAAAGATCCAGAGAAATCATAACTTTTTGGCACAAACTCAACTTGTAATGTTTGGAAAAAGAAGAATGCTGAGATGCATCCCAAAAACACCAGACTGGTTATGAAGCATGGGACTGGAAGCATCACATTTTTGGGCTGTTTTTCTGCAAGATGGCTGTTTTTCTGCATGGCTCCTTAAACCCCATAAAGTATTTGTGTAGGGAAAGTTGAAATTTCGTGTTACCAAGCAGCAGCCAAACATCGCTACTCTTGTGGAGACCTGCTTGAAAGAATGAGCCAAAATACCAGCTATAAGCAAAACTGTTGAAGACTGATAAGAAACATTTGAGTGGTGTCATTGACTCCCTCCTCTGTTCTGATGCGCTCGCATTTTCCTGCTGCTCTGCAACTCCCTGATCTGTCCCTGCTTTGCTGTGTCTAGTCTTTTCTGAGCCCTCTCCTCACATCATCAAACAATAGATCTGGTCAGCTGGTCTCTCAATGCAATTGATCAAATTTTCTCAACTAATAGACGGGGAAAAGTGGACCCTTCCTGTCCTGCCGGGACAAACGTTGTGGGATACACCATGGATTCCTGGAAGGCTTGGCGGATGATGTGTTTTACAATGTTGTCAGTGGAGGACATCGAAGATGTATGGATTTTCGGATTTATAAGACTCTGATTCTCCTGTTTGGATTTGGAGGATACCTGATGTATCTACAATTACAGAGGATGTCAGCTCCAATTTGGACATTGATCAGGCTGTCGGCAGCAGTTGAGGCGCCCAAAAAGTCTTTGGATGAGCAGGATCGTGAGATGAGCCATATGCTGGGTGCGATTGAACGCAGGCTGGCTGCGGTGGTTGAACTTAAAGGTGAGATGGGACAATATCTTGGATGTGCACGCTTGCTTCAAGGCAGAGAAGCCCAAGAAATTTGGAACATTGGATCCGCCATGTTGAGCCAGTAACCAAAGACGAAAAATTCCTGTGCAGCCTGCTCTCAAAACAATAAGTGTTATTTTGGATTCAGCCTCCCCCTTATCAAACTTCCCCCTGAATGTTATGGCAGAAGGGCCCAAGAACTGCTCCCCCCAAAAAAATCCCCCTGTCAGCCCCCCACCCCACCCCTAAAATCTTGATTACAATGTAAATTGTAGTTGACAATTAAAAAATCAATTGATTGATTGATTCGATTTACAACAAATGTTATACTACTATTGAGTAGAACAAATTTTTAATGACCAAATACTTATATTCTAACATAATCTATAAATACACCATTTTAAAATTCTACAGTGGGATTTCTTGGATATGTTTTCTTAGTTTGTGTACCTATAATGAAAATTACAGACCTCTCTCATGTTAGTTAATTCAAGTTGCCGAAGTTTCAAAATCAGTGTCTAACTAAACACTTTATTGCCCTGCTGTGTCCGTGTTTTTGCTAAGCTCTGGGACATTTTGTGGTGTTCCACAGTCTGCTAGTCTAATTCAAATCATAAAATGCCTGTAGTAAGTTAAAGTAAAATTACTGTAAGTTAATGTTGTGGTTTGGAGAAATTGTGTTTACCAAATTCTGGTAATATAATTAATCTTAGTCTTAATAAAAAAAAAATATTATTACATGTGATGAAAGGCCAAGACCTCAGTCCTGACTGGGTCCAACTGAAGTAAAGCTGCTGCTGTTACTGACCTGGAGTTACTTGTGGCTTCCCTGTGGATATTGTGGCTGTTGTTGTTGAGCTGCTTGATGTCTGGAGGAGTGATGGCGAGGACTGGAGGCCATTCCTCCTCCTCTAATAGTTGGTTTAATGGATTGGGAAGAGGACGGATGATAGTTCTGGTGACCTGCTCTGATTGGCTTAGCTGCATGAACACAAGAACAGGCTCATTCAATAAATACCAGACTCTCCAGGTTTCAAACTGATGTTTACTTAACTTGAAAGAAAGAATCTCACCGATCTGAGCAGAGTGTCCTCGCCTGGAGACGTTCTTCGACCTTACTGCTTCTTTGATCCGGTCTACTTCCTGCTGGTACCGTTTGCGGTCCCTTAGAGCCGACTCCTTGGCATTTTTTAGGGCCGTTTCCAGAACTTTCACTCGTTCTGCAGTGGCTCTTAGCCGCCGGTCCAGTTTTGGCAGCTCACAGCGCAGGTCCGCATTATCCCGGACGAGCTGGAAACACAGAGACATGTATTAATTCCAGTAAATGAGGCAATATTATGAAACTGGGTGATGATAGCAGCACATGTGGATTAGTTTATTCAGAAGGCTGGCAAGTTTTTAGGAACATGGACAGAGCTAAACCTTAAAGCAAACCTGGTAGAGGCTAAAAATGCTTAGGGTTAGGGTTACATTCTAGGAGGAGAGGAACTCTAAACATTTAGCCAGAGCTTTGATAGGCTAAAGCAAAGATTATTTGTCTGTTGAAATATCCCAGTCAATGTCAGGACCTAAATTCACTTAAGAATCAGTGGAGAGACATAAATACTGATGTTCATCCAAAAATCACTAGGAAGTAAAAAAGAAAACAAGTTTGTCTCTACATCCAAAAAAAAAAGGTAGAAACGTAATTTAAGAGCTGGAATTGCAGTGAAAGATGACAAATATTAAGTTTGGAGGGATTAAAAACTATTTACAAAGTTCTTGTCTGTAGATTTTGAAAAGCAGTTATTACCTCTAAGTTTGTGGTTTATATGCAGTTACAGTAAAAACAAGAAGTGAAATATTACAGGCTGAAACTGAAAAGAAACACAATCACTTAAACATATAATATGCTAACATAAGTCTGTACAATACCTGATGCGGATGTTAAATATATATTACTTGAAAGGTGTTAGATAGTTGCTGTGTTTATTCTTTTCAAATCAATAATGACAAAAACGGTGCTCCCCAGTTGATTTTGGATCAATCATTTTACAGGACGTCTCCTTTCACAATAATGTAAAAAAAAAAAAAAAAAAAACGTTAGACAGAAATTTGTGAAAGGACGTGGTAAGTTGATCTAATATTTTACATGGATATTCATAGTCCTACCTCCTTGTTAGCACTTTCTGTAAGCTGAATTTATGTTTGGTAAATGAAAAGAATTTAGTACCAAGACATTACGTGGAATTCATGTTAAAGGCAGTTGATACTTAGTTAAAGTTGGTAAAGAGAATAAAACTAGGAGAAAAATGTCATAAATCAGTTACAGCAAACATATAAAGTTCTAAAGGCAATAAAAATGTTTCTAAAGAAAATAATATATTTTCATATGTTTTAAACAAAATGTCCAATTGAAATATTTCATGATGTCTTCAGCCAAAGCCTATGGCTGAAGACATCATGAAATGGGTAAAAATGCTGCCAAATTAGGTCGATTTAGCAAAAAGATTGGTTGAACACAACTTCCGACTGAATAAAACCAAAAAAAATGTGAAAAAACTATTATGTTTGAATAAAAATGACTAACACCTTTCATTTTACTCATCATTGCCCAATTTGCACAAACACTTTCACTGTCTGCTTGAGTTTATTTCACTAAAATGGCAGAAAATCTTCATTGATTGTTCTAAGAAATTTTACACTTAAAAAAATTACAAAAGATTTTCTTATACACACTAACAATTAACAATTTCAAAGGAACTTAAAAGGGGGGAAAAAACGTTTGCAAAAAAACAGATTTCATTACTAATTGTAATTCTGCTTTACACCAGTAGGTGGTGACATGTTCACATGGAGCCTCATGAACTGTGGGGATTGATGAAGCAAATTGGCCAAATGCTTCAATGCCTCATGAGGCCTCATCTCACCATCACTAGCCATAGGTGAAAAGTATGACATTACAATCTCATCCTTAGCATATATTTTTTTCATAATATTCACAATATTCATTAAACTTTCAGGTTTTGTGGAGAGATGAGTTTTTTCTGATTTAATGCTGATCCATATGGCAACAAAAGCCAAGTCCAAAAACATAACACAGAAAGCCAAAAGCTAGAAGGCATCAGGGAAACACACAGAAACAGCAGGTGGAGTTTAAATGGGAGAATGAACAAAGACTGGGGTAATTAGCAAACGAGGAACAGGTGTGGATGGAAGCATCTAGAAGGGAGCTAGGGGAAGGAGACTGACACAATGGGGTAATGGAGGATAAACAAGAAATACATAAGAACTCAAATACAACCAAAACCAACTAGAATGACACAAAATGTAAATAAAACAAATAAAAACTCAAAAGGAAAGCTTAAACAGCACAAAAACCATGACAAAACTGCTACTTAGTGTTTCTGAATATTTATATGGCTGTTTCTATATTTTTTTCATGTGTTGATTGAAAATAATTGTAACTTTTTTTTCAAAGCAAATAAATATTTAAATATAAAAGACTGTTGTTGCACTGAGACAAGTTGGTTTATTTAAGGCTGCCGAGGTATAGTTAATAAAATCCTCTAATATAGAGAAAAAAAATATGCTGATTGTTATTCATTCTCTGGTCGGGCTCTATGCTGAAGCTCCTTTGCAGTACAGGCCACTCATGTTATATCTCACCTGCTTGTGGACTCTGCTGAGCTGCTCCAGGTTATTTTCTAAGAAGATGATCCTCTGTCTCTGAGCCAAACTGCCACCAGCTTCATCGCTGTCGTTCTCTGAGCTCTGTTCAAGAAACAACAAAACATTCATTTTCCTACCCTTAAAAAGAAAAAAAAAAAAAAGGCAATGTGCTGTTTGTTAAATACAAATCCTTTCAATACTAATACTCAGCGTAGCATCTGGTTGTTACTGGAGCAGAATGTAAAATAAGTGAATCTTCCTAAAATATCCTGAAACAATCTCTGTTGCTGTTAGAGATGAGTTATCCCAGAAGTATCTCAGAAGATTATGTCATCTGCAGGTTTGATCAATGTTTAAAATAGAAAAACAGATTAAAATGATTCCTCAGGCCAATATACAGCACTTGATACCATCAATGCTATTAACAGGGAGCCCCTTTTGAAATACCATCTATGTAATTTGGGAGAAGATGCACCGTCATTGGCCAGATCATGTGACCTGGGAAAACCTATTGCTTTGCGTAAAAAGACTCTTATATTGTAAGGTAGCTAAGTCTCTTGCTCTAATATTTTTCTACCGGCTGGTGAGGGCTGAGACAAGGAAAAAGTATAAACCTTCTCAGGAGGCTAAAAAAAGAAAACAGGGAAGAGATCTTACGCAAGGAAAAACAAGAGTCGGTTTTGGAAAGGAGTTTGTTTGCTGGCGCAGGCTGAAAGAACAAGCCGGATGTAAAACCAATTCTGTTTTCTCAAATTTATTATTAAACTTGCAAGTTAACACTTTACTCCTAGTATACTCAGATAATTTTTTTTCTTTATTTTTTCTGTTTACTAGAGGCAAAATACCTGCAAAAGCTAGCAGCCTACACATTAAAGCTAACCAAGACACCGCGTCCCACCCAGTGGCTCTTCACTGGAGCTACACCAATCCTCCATTCTCATGCCCTCCGAGCAGAACTTAGATCCCTAGCGCAGTCCCCAATCAAACGACATGGGAGACTGGCCGGCTGATGACTTTAGCAACAGTTCTGTAGCACTTGTGGCCACTAAGGGCCCTAGACGTAATAAGTCTATCACCCCTAGAAGCCAAAAGTTACATGGTGTGCCTTTAAATATCCAATCAGTATGAACAGAAACCATTGACCAATCTACTGGTGGCAGGTTATTACTTAGTACTGTTTTTCTATCAGAACATGTTCCACTTTCTGTTAGAAGCTGACGACTACGCTTTGTTTGTTCTTACGTTCTTGACCCGAGAAGTGATGTCTTGTATGAATTGGATCCGAAGGTTAGTAAGGGTCTGCAGCTCTTTGGTCTGTGAAATAAAAAGAAAATAATAATTTCCAAATTATCTGAGATTCAGCTGAAAAATTTAGATGAATGAAGATTAACCAATAAGAAACATACCACAGTTTCCTCCAAACCCTTCAAGTCCTCCTTGGCTTGTTCCCTCTTCTCATTTAGGAATCTTAAATCAGAGGACTGCATAATTAGGACTGTAGGATAGCACTCAACAGAGCAAAAACAACACTGACTGGAGAAAAGATAAGTTATGTCTGCTGTTTTTTAATCGATGTTTGATAGGTCACACTGGGCAGAGTTAAAGGTTTAGCCAGAAAAAGGTTCACACAACAAATATAGCACAGAATTGAGACGACAAGACACTGCAAAAGAAAATATACAAAAAAAAAAACAAAAAAAACCCACCTTGCATGTGAGCTTCCAGACAAAAGAAAATTATTAAATAATATAAGTCTGATACTTAAATGTCGGATTAAAGTCTGACATTTAGGTCCCTTATTGTGCACAAGTGGGTGGAATCAAGTTGAACCATTAACTCAGAACATATACCAAAGGACTCCTGTAGGTTCTATAGGAAGCAAAGAGGGACAAACTTACTGTAGTTTCTGGAGTCTTTGCTCTTTGATTTGGTCCTCAGCTCTGAGTTTTTCAAAGTCTGAGAGAAGTTTCCTGTTCTCCAGCTGAAGAGCCTGATTCACACTGAGAGATAAACACCAAACCTTTGTTAGAAAAGACTTTATGACAGACAAGATATAACCAGGTGACAGTCGTCACTAGTAATTGTAAAAATCAAATGTACTCTTTGAGCTGATCGTTGTCTCTCTGCTTTTGCTCAATCTCATCACGGAGTCGACTCAGCTGTTTCTGATGAACCTCCCTGTGGTTCTCCATCTGTTCCTCTAACGTCCTCTGTTGAACAGAAAGCAGCAGAACTTTATTATCTATAGGAATGGGAAATTTACACAGAACAAGAACTAAGATTTTCATTTTAGTTAATGTGATGAGATGGAAGTTCTTTCATACAGCTGGTACAGGAGACCCTGCTGATGCTTTTACCTGCACAGGACAGTGGATGGCGCTCTACTACAACTAGATTATTAGGTGCAGTTCAATTTAATCAGGGTTAAACTGGCTTTGCTTCTGATTTATTAAAATAAAGACATAACTGAGATCAAACAGAGATTATTTCCTTTGGAACTGATCGTACTTCAGGGCTTAAGACCTCTTAACAATGTTACCCTGTAGATCCTAAGGAACCCCAAAGAAAGTATCTAAGTCTTTACCTTCATCTCCACTGCATCCTTCAGTCTGCTCATATGTTCTTTCTCTTTGTCCATCACCGTCAGCTCATGCATCTGACCCTGAGCATGAAGTTTAGCAATCTCCTCCATCAGAGCATCCTGGCTCTCCTCCAGCTGCCTCTTCTTCTGCTCCATCCTTTGAAGGTCGGCAGTCAGGGATTCCAGCTTGGCCTTAAGCTGCACAAACATCGCATTAACAACAACAACCTGGTCAACAACAAACGCAAAGAGGGTGGTTTAACATGAAATCAGTAAAATAAACCAGTATTATTGTCAGCGACTAGAATCGGGTGTCAGTCAGGTGTTAGTATCTCAGAGTAGAGAGCAGGTATGCTGAGTCAACTTCTTCCACTTGTGGTCTTCTGGTTCTTTGGCTTTAGAAGAGAATAAATCAATGAGGAAATTCAACTCTAAGTTAAATCAACTCAGAATTCAGGGTATGAGTGTAATAAGAAGCCCTCATCATGATCGATCAGGTGGAGGAAATACGAAGCCTCAAAATGCACATTTCTATACTCACCTACCTGAATGATTGCTTCATCTGACACTTTCCATTCTTTCATATTTTTGTTTTATTAATCTTTGGAGTTTTTGACAAGGGAATAACACAAAACAGGTGTGTAATTTAATAAATTCAATTTCCTTTCCTTTCTGTGAACATCAGTTGTAATATATAATTTAACAAAACCTAATCCTTATAATATAAGGAGAGGAAACTCACCACTCTACTAAGAAAGTTGCTGTTTTATACAGTTTGTTATTAATCTAATTTCCATAGGCGACTGTGTCCCTCACATGAGATCTTATGTTACCCTCTGATCTGAATTTACAAAATGTACAAAATCAGCATTTACATAAAATGGTGGGAGGGCTGGAACAAAATGTTGAAATTCTGTTCCTTGACGAGGACTTTAAATATTATTGTAGCTTTAGAGAAACATGTTATTAGAAATAAATGCAGATTCATGATGGTGTGACAAGAATTCTCAAGCTTTCATTAGTCAGGTTTTTTACCTGAGAGACGAGGAGCTGGCAGGTGCTCAGCTCTTTCTCGTTGGCCTCCATCTTGCATGTGTTCTCCGTCAGGCTGACCTCCAGCTGTTTGCTGCGGTTCACCAGAGATTTGACCTCAGACTTCATCTTGCTGATGTAGAGACGAGCCGTGGTGAACTCTTCCTCCATCACGCCGCTCACCTCGGCCATCTGAGCATCAATGGAAACATGCAGGAAATATGTCGGTCAGACCGCAAACATCTGCTGATACATTCGGGATTTTACAGTTCTTAAGTGTTTTACACAAAAAGTAGTTCATTATGAACCTGATTTTTTGAGGATGGGTCTCTATACAGCAAAATGTGAACAGCAGAAGAAGAGTCTTACAGCTTTGAGGTCTGTGGTCCCGAGGACACTGCCGATCTCACTGAGGTCTCGGATCAGCAGATTGAGGATCTCTGCAGATCTCTTCTTATGGTGACAGCTGAGCTCCTGCAGGGTGGACAGCTCCCTCTGAGCTGCCTCCAGACCGGCCTGGAAACATAAAATAATGTGGATCACTGACCAAACATCTCCAAGCATGCAAAACAAACAAACAAACAAAAAAAAAAAACAGTCAGGAGATTTTTTTTTTATGGATGTTAATGCTGTTTTACCAATAATTATAAATGTTCTGAACTGAAATAATATATACATCTATTTTAACATTGGTCCAATTTAGTAACAGGTGCAATGTGATCGTTCATGTTTTACTATATGTAGAAATTCCAATTTTAACATTGCATAAGCCTCCATTATCTTTAAACAAAGTTTATTTGTAAATAAAAACTTTTTTAGTATTAATACAAAATTATACTGGTTATATATTATTATTCTTTGTTTTTCAAACATACAAATCATCAGTTTAAATTAATTTTGATTCTATACAGAACTCTGAAGAAAAAAACCTACATGAAAAAATATATTTCAATATAAACATTTATAATTCTTCCCCTCATTCCAGTGGTTTGGTTTTATTTGTTACTATCCAAAAAATCATGTGTCCAATAAAAGTCACTGTAATAATGTAAGTTATTTTATAATTGATATTAACTAAGTTTCAATCTACAACAATATAATCTCTTAGATTTTTATTTTTGACAGTGGTGTAAAATCCTTAGAGTTTAAGGACTCACAGTTTTGTGTGCCAGCTCCTCGTTCAGCTGCTCATTGCAGCGGGTCTTGTTCTCCACCTCCTGGCTCTTGTGGTCATAGTTAACTGCGAGCTCCTCCAGAGCCTGCAGCACCTCCTTCACCTCCTCTTTGGCTGAATCACTGTCCCTCTGAAGCCGGTTTAGCTCCTCCTGCAGACGCTCATAGTCTTGACGGCTGGACACCAGCAGCTATGAGTGCAGAACATCACAGGAGTTAGAAGGACAGGTGAGCTGTGAAGCTGCAGCGGGGGCATCAGGTGTGAAACTGACCTCATCCTGTTCTATCAGCTGCTGTTTGAGCTTCTCGGATGTCTGACTGTGGAGGTTGATCTCGTCGTCCTGAAAGCATGTCGTCAGTTTTAAGGTTTTTAATTTTAAATCTCTCAGTTTCAATCTGCTGCAAGTACAGCTGAAGCTCACCTTGTCATCCAGTTGTTGGTAAAGGTTGGTAATGAGTGTCTCATACTGCACCTTCTCCTCCTCACACAGAGGCACAGTGGGCGGAGCCAAACTTTCAATCACTGCTGGCGTTTCAGTGCTGCTCTTCTTGTTTCTGTTACTCATTTGTTCCTCCACAGGGACAGACTCACCTGGACAGGTTTAAAGTGATAACAACAACAAACATGTTTCCAGGGATCAAGGCACCAAATATCCTCTTTTCTTGCAAAAAACACTGAGGGTTTTAAATTTGAACCAAGTGTAAACCTTCAAACATTAGAACCAGTAAATATTTTAAAAGGTAAATAGGTAACTCCAATTTTCAACTCTGTAAAGATGTTATAAATAAATTAAATCATCACTGAACAATTTTTGAAATTAAAATGTTCTTAATTTGAAAGTTGGACTATCTGATCCTAAATGGTGAAGGCAGAGTTCTGATGAAAATGAAAAGAGAGATCATATCGCTCCTATCCAAGCTTCTTTTCATTGGCTTCCTGTTAAATCCAGAATATAATTTAAAATCCTCCTTCTCACATATAAAGCCTTAAATGGACAAGCTTCATCTTACATCAGAGATGTGATTGTTCCTGAAGTTCCTAACAGAGCACTTCGTTCTCAATCTGCAGGTTTACTACACTGCAAAAACAATCCAGAAATAAGTAAAAAATTCTTAAATTAAGTATATTTACCCTTAATTTGAGCAGGTAAATAAGATGATCTGCCAATGGAATGAGTATTTTTACTCTTAAAATAAGATAGTTAGATAATATTTACTTGAAATAAGACGATAAAATTGTTTTTTCTTATTTTAAAAGGAAATTGTCTTGTTCCATTGGCAAAGTGTCTTACTTACGTCCCCAATTCAAGGAAAAATTCACTTATTTTAAGAAAAAATAACTTATTGAGGTTTCTATTTTTTGCAGTGTAGTGGTTCCTAGAATTCCCAAAAGTAGAATGGGAGGCAGATCTTTTAGTTATCAGGCTCCTCTCCTGTGGAACCAACTACCAGATTTTTGTCCATGAGGCAGACACCCTGTCTACTTTTAAGGGTAGGCTTAAAACCTTCCTTTTTGATAAAGCTTACAGACATAGTGACTCAGGTTATCCAGAGCTATCTCTATAATCATGCTGCTATAGGCTTAGACTGCTGGAGGACATAGGGACCCCCTTTTCCTCCTTCTGCCTCCTACCTCTATTCTCCCACTCTTTAGAATTTGTTAGTTCAATCTCTAACGCTATGCTCTTTCTGTTTTTCTCATAGTAGCTTTATCTGGTCTTTTCCTGCTTGGTTGTGACACCGTCCTGGAGAGAAATATCAGCTGTGTTGCTACAATCAACACCTTTGTTTATAGCTGTGGAGTTCGGCCTATTTTTCAATGTAGTCCTGTTTCTCTGACTCCCTGTATGTGCTCTCTTCACCCTCTGACTTGAGAGCTGGCTTCTGTATCCTTGAACCCCAGTCAGCCATGGCAGATGGCTGCTCACATTGAGCTTGCTTCTGCTGGAGGTTTCTTCTTGTTAAAAGGGAATTATTCCTCTCCACTTTCGCTATAGGCATGCTTGGCTTAAGGGATTGCCTTTGAGTTATTGAGTCGATGCAATCAGCTGGTTTTCCTTAGATAGAAAACTTTAAACCAATCCGACTGTATGATCTGGTTGGATTGTCTCTGTAAAGTGCCTTGAGATGACATGTTGTGAATTGGCTCTATATAAATAAACTGAATTGAACTGAATTATTGTTGTAAACATGATCTTAATCCTTCAAAACATGTGAGTGATATGATGGTAATCCGTCTCATCTTTTGAAATTAAAAAAGATATAGAAGACAAGAAATAAATCCAGCAGGTGGAGTCCTAACACAGTGCAGGAATTAATTTAAAAGCCCCTTTCCACTGCAGGACCATCATTTAAGAGCACCAGGATAGAAAATTGACAACAGAAAACTTTTCTTGAGAGATGTAGTAAATTTTTGATGAGACATGCTTTTAATAAGTGGAGTTTTGTGGGTTCCTGGTATTTCCTACTGGTTTGTTGTATGTTCCTAGTTTTCTGCCTGCTTTACCTATAAACTTCATAATAGCTGTGACTCACTTATAATATTAAACTATTCAACATGAGTAACGGTATTTCATTAGCAAACACAATTTTAAACCATGTCACTGGAGTTGAATATTAGAATTTTTCCGAGTTTACAATTAAATACAATTAAAAAATCAGTGTTGAGGTAAAGAGAATATTAAAGGATTTTAGGAATAGATTTAGGGTGTTATACACTCAAAGCATCATGATTAATCAATGACTAAGAGTAATCAGAACAGGAACCTTGGTTCAGATTTTAAAGAAAGAATCTCCCATTGTAAATTTTCCGAACCTTTTCTCCATCGCTTCAGCTCATTCTCCAGTTTCTGGATCATGATGCTCAGACTTCTGTTCTTTTCTTTCTCCTTCTCATACTTCTTCTTCCACTCCTCGGCAGTCAGCTCAAGGTTCACAGAAACCGTGTTCTTTATGGTTTTAGCTCTGAAACATGAAATTAGACAGAGGAGATTTAAGAGGGAGGAACACAAACTTACACTTTATCTCTAATGGTTCAGATCTTCAGATGATCATCTCACATTTCAGACTTTTGAATTAAGCTGCAAATTGCTGGCAAATCGACCCCACTGAAATTCCTCTGTATTTAAATGTAAAAAAACTCCTGAGTTTGGAATCCAGTCTAAAGAACCATACGGGGTATTTAGAGTCCTTTCTGGTTGTTAATGCAGCAGTTAGACTTCATTTGTTTCTAACTAACTGCTTATCACAAATACTAAAGTAAACCCTACCTCTGTCCAAACATGAGGGTGGACTTGCTTTCAGCTTCATTGTAAACAGAGGGTGAGCAACAGATGATGATGGTGGTTCGACAGTTTCCTCCTAGAGAATCCTGCAGAATCCTGGTCATCTTACTGTCTCGGTACGGCACATGGGTTTTCTACAATAGAACACATACAGTGATATACTGTAAGAACACAGATCCATTATATAAGGTGCAATCTTACCCTTTCTGTCATACTGATGTCAGGAACATCTAGCACCCATTTGTTTTCATTGCTTCAGCTCAACACTGAAGCTCTTAAGATGCTTTATTGGTCTCCGCCCAAACTTGCATCAATAGTCGAAGGTATTGTCTCACTAATAGTAAACCCCATTTCACCTCTTGACCCGTACCCCTTGCACTTCAAAATTCGGACACCCCTTCAACAACTGCATACGTCATCAGTAGTCACAGCTGGCTTTTAAGTAGGCAGACAGAACAAGGTTTTTGCAGAAATCTAGAGAAATCATGCCATCTGTAGCTGTGGTGAACTCATCATTTTAAGGTATGTGCTGCTAAATGGAGGAATGCAAGAAGAAGGTTACATCTAGAATGCCTAGGAATGTTGTTAGATCACTCTATGGTACATAGGATGTAATGAGGAAAGTTTGTCCTCAATATGATGAGAAATTATCTTACACTATTGTTATCTTGTTTTTTTTTCTTTACTGCACAAAAGTTTTCTCTCAAGCAGAACAAATGCTAGACAAGACTAGATGGGAGTCTTATCTTACTGACGCCTCAGAAGCCGGTTTTTCGGTTTTTCAGTGTCGCAATGTTATTTCAACAATCCTGTTTGTTAAAAAGTGTCTACTTGTGAGAATCCCTTCCTGAGGTTCTTAAGTATTTAGAGAAATCCTCTGTGACCAGGACAGACCATTGGCACTAGACTGCAATTATTATTAAATGCTGCTTAAATGAAGAACGCCACTCTGATTTCTTGTTAATAAAAAAACCTAAAGTGGGTTCAGACCAAATGCTTTTTGGGCGTCCAAAACACTTTAACACCAAAACTGGGTCAAACGTTGGACAAGATGCTTTGAGGCTTGAACACCGGATGTTGAGCTGCCCTGTCCTATTGTAAAATAGTGAGCAGCTTGGCTTTATTTGTTTTAATGAGTTTGGAAGAAAATGTTTCGTTTTTATGTGCCCCTTAAAACATCATCTGTGCATTTAATTAATCATGATTACGATCATACTTAAATATTCTAGTTGTTTGAGCGGCAGAAAGCTCTGCATACCATCGGGGTACACAGTGCTGGAACTCCCAAGTAAAAGCACTCTTAAACCGACCAGGCTGTCATGGATTTCCCGCTGCTGGCTGTACTGTTTTGGCTAAATATGGTTTTAAAGTGTTTTTTTCCTCATTTGTGATTAAAAAAGCAAGTAACAAAACAAAAAATGCAAAATCTGCTAAAACTATCTAATTTCCAACTCCTCAGAACAGATAAAGCAAAGCTCAGAAAACCAGTCAGTATCAAGTGTGACCACCATTTCACCACCTGAGTTCATCAGGTGGTCTGTGGAATGCTGGTTCGCTCCTCTTCAATCGTTGTGCAAAGTTGTGGGATATTGGAAGGAACTGGTACACGCTGTTGTATACACCAATCCAGAGCATCCTAAACATGCTCAATGAGGGATATCTCTGTTGACCATGCCAGCCATGCAATAACTGGGATGTTTTCAGATTTCAAGATTTGTGTACAGATCCTTGCAATATGGGGTAGTGCATTATCCTGCTGCAACATGAGGTGATGCTCTTGGTTGTATGGCAGAATAATAGACCTCAGGATCTTGTCACAGTATCTCTGTGCATTCAAAATTCCATCAATAAAATGCACCCGTCTTCTTCGTCCTTAACTCCAACTACAACGCCACCGTTACCCACTCTATCCACAACATTGACATCAGAAAACCGCTCAACCACACGATGCCACACACGCTGACTGCCATCCGCCTGGAACAGTGTAAACCGGAATTCATCAGTGAAGAGAACACCTCTCCAAAGTGCCAGATGCCAGCTAATATGAGCATATGCCCACTTAAGTCGGTTACGATGACGAACTGGAGTAAAGTGGAGACCCCAATGAGGGTGACGAGCATGGAGTTGAGCTTCCTTGAGATGGTTTCTGATATTGTGTGCAGAAATTATTTGGTTATGTAAACTGATTGTTTCAGCAGCTGTCTGAGTGGCTGGTCTCAGTCGAACTTGGAGGTGAACATGCTGGATGTGGAGGTCCTTGGCTGGTGTGGTTACATGTGGTCTATGGTTCTGAGGCTTGTTGAATGTACTGCCAAATTCTCTGAAATGCCTTTGGAGATGGCTTATGGTAGAGAAATTAACATTCAATAAAAGAACAACAGCTCTGGTTGACATTCCTGCTGTCAATATGCCAACTGCACGCTTCCTCAAATATTGCGACATCTGTGGCTTTGTACTGTGATAAAACTCCACCTTTCAGAGAGTCCTTTTATTGTGGGCAGTCTAAGGCACACCTGTGCCTAATCATGGTGTCTTATCTGCATCTTGATACAGCCAACCTGTGAGGTGGGATGGATTATCTTAGCAAAGGAGAAGTGCTCACTTTTACAGATTTAGACTGGTTTGTGAACAATATTTGGGGGAAATGGTGATACTGTGTATGTGGAAAAAGATTTAGCTCTTTGAATTCATTTTATGAAAATTGGAAGCAAAAGTAAAAGTGTAGTTTTGTTGAGTTACCCAATTTACAAACATTATGTCTATGTTGTTAGAAAATATCCAAAAGGTTAACGAGTTGGGTCAAGGTGTAAAATGGTTTTCACCATAAATCTGTTTTAGACTCTGTAATGATATGAAACAGATTTGAGCAAATTTATTTTAAAGATCTCCCTTAAATAACATTGCCATTGTAAGTAATGCTTGGTAGTTAAACATAGGTGGTTACTAAATGAGTGAATCAACCCAGGATTTACAATGGCAGCTGTTAAGTCTCCTTTTTTTTTTTGGTCTTTGCATATTAGCAGTCTTCTGCAAATTTTATGTATTATTGTAAAATCAAATCTGTGGAGCATAAAGGGGGTTTGCCTATACGATGTATAGGGTGCAAAGAGGTGCTACTGTTTCAGTGGATGCCAAAGCAAGGGGTAAAAAAAAAAAAAGTTCAAATTTGCATCTCTTTGTATATAACAGATTTTGTGCATGCATAAATTACAGACATTATAGATTATCTTATTTTTTATTACAAATGTTACCATATTAAAAACCGAGAGTGTCCTCTATTGCAGCGGTCCCCAACCACCGGGCCGCGGACCAGTACTGGGTCAAAAAAATAAAATAAAAAATTATATATATATATATATATATGTATATATATATATATATATATATGATCGACGATCAGAGTCTGAGTAATGTTTTATTTTGAAAAATATAAAAAATTGCGGTATTCTTTCCCAATTACATCAGTCGGTGCATCTGTGCCTTTGACACAGTTTAATTCAGTTCAAGTCTCATCCTATCTATAACATCCTATCTTTGTGAGGCGGGATGTTCTGCGGTTACAGCGACCAAAACAAATACGGAAATTCGTCTGTCCGATTATGCCTAGATGGGACCGGCTTGTTGTTTTATTGTTATGCTGTTTGTATTTGATGTTATGCCAGTCGTATCATTTTACATACATCATTTGATCGTAACCCCCCCCCCGTCTGACATATAGCGCACCGTGGTGCAAAAAAGGTTGGGGACCACTGCTCTAATGGATCGTAGAAAGTTTCGGTCTTGATCTTTATGCAATCACCAATACTGTAGCTTTGCTTTGCCGGGCATGATCAAGACATCAAAAAGACGACAAGATTTAAATCCAAACAACGTCTACATTTGGATGAAAAGTGAAACCTGAAAAGCTGTAATTTTCAGGTTGTTGAAAAGACATTGAAAACCTAGCATTTTAACATCTTTTCAGCATCTATTATTGATCTAAAGTGGGACAAAATAAGACCAACCAAACACATCTCATTTTTTAACAGGTCGAAACCAGACTATGATGAACCAACCATATTTAGCATAAAAACCAACCTCTAAATAATTTCTGGTGTTTAGGGGCTAAATATGGGAACCATTTGCTTTAGTGATGAAGGTATTGTATGAAGTTTTCTGTCATTTAAGCTCCGTAATGGTATCTAAAACCAATTTAAGTTGTTAGCTTTTTCAAATATGTAAATATGGACAAATATAAACAGACTTGTTTTTAGAGTATAGTATGACATTTTGTTTCATTCGGGCCCTTTCTGTTTTATTGTTTTCTCATGCGGTTGTTTGGTAGAGAGGTGTGTTTACGTGGTGTCGATCTTAATCTGAAGTCCATCTTGGTGACATGAGACAAAATAGTGAACTTAACCTAAAGTTCCCCCATAGGCTCCAGGTCTTTCCTTTAACAAATAAAACTACTTTTCAGCTCTTGGCCATCTGATGATTACTTACTGTTCCTTCACTCAGAGCAGCGATGACGTTTCCAAGAGCAGAAAGAGACTTGTTGATGTTCTTCGCCTCATCCAACACAGATCCTTCAGCTCCAGTTTTACTTACCTGATCAACAGCAGCAAATGGTCAGAAGAGATATATGAAAGAAAAGAGATGAGAAAGAGAGTAAGAGATTAGGAATGTTGGATGCCCTCATGGATAGTGGGATCTACAGATTTTATGGGATTTATACTTTGTTAACCTATTCTAACAAAAGGTAGTCGAACAGAAAAAAAACATATTTGTTGGAAAAACACAGATGATTAAAGAAAATGGGTTACACCTTCTCACTCCCCGCTAGGTCGACCAGATAAAGTTTTCCAGACAGTTTCATCTCTGTCTCCACGTTTTCCTGCTTGATGTTGATCAGGAAAATACTGTGACTGCGAGAACTGTGTTCGTTCATGTCTGCAGGAGGAAGACAGATGAAGAGCAGGTACATCAGCTGGAAATACACCAGCCGAACAAAGCATCTGTTTTTTTGTTTTTTTTTCAAAACACAGGTGCAAGCTTATTTCTTAAGGAGATGGTTGCCATTTTCTCCATATTCAATCTAAAGAACTACTGCTGAACGAATACTGGACAGAAACACCAAAAGCTATTTTGTTCTAACTCTGAGGAACAGTGTTAATATCACTTCAGTAATAGCCGATTCTGCAGAACACTTACTGGTAACGGCAACATGTCTGTTTGCTTTCCCTTCATCGATGACATCCATCACCTCCTCAGGACTGGAAACAAAACGCTCAGTGCAACCCTGACAACACATATAGTAAACATGAAACACATGCTGCTTTAATATCCCTTTGGAAATGTGCAAAAATACAAATTAATTAGACAAAGACAGTTTCTACTACTAGTTTAAATCTTGCTGCTCCATTGGTAATCATAGGGGAATAGTAGGCAGGCACATTTGTCAAATGCATCATCATAATATGACAATATTATTGCAATCAGGAGTTTTGGCGGTTTTTACTGGTGACCGCTACAGCTGTGTGTTAGTAAAATGTATAATCTATTGTACTTTTATAGCTTTAGAAAGTAAAAATGGTTGAAATTAATTCTTGCTCTAGCATTGGATTTGGAGAAAACCAAGCACAACATATCCTTGCAAACACAGGGATGGAAGGATGGAGCTTCGGCCTGTTTTTGAACTTGCTTACCAAAGTTTATTGTTTCTTATTGCTGATAATACGACCTTTGGGATCATGTTTTTCACTTTTTCCATCACTTCAATATCACTGGTAGAAAATCAACCTGTTTTTTCTCATACATACAAGCTTTATTAATAATAATATTCTAATATTAAAATGGCACAGTTATATGAAAGCTGTGTCAAACTGTTGTCCTGATAAACGACACATGTGATAAATATCACACTAATACTAATTGAATACAATGTTCTGTTATTATGTTACCTTAACATAGGGGACCCTGTTTTTATCCTCATGAACAGCCAGGTTGGTCTTTGACACTAAAATATAAAACAATGGTTATTAATGGCAACCAACTCTTGGATCTTAATAACAGGGAAAAAAAATCTCAAACATCTCACCATCCAACAAGTCTCTGATTTTATCCAAGTAGATTTCAAAATAGGAGACCTGCAAACAGAGAGGATCCCATGAGCAAATAATACTGAGAAGCTAACAACAAAGTTATACTAAGGAAATTAACAGTATTCTATACTGTTTGCACAGCTGGAAGCTAATAGCATCTTTGGTGTTACTGATGGTATAATCACCTTGATGTGGAACTCTAGGTTCTCATCCATGGAGTAGATGTGGTCAAAGATGTCTCTGGAGATGCGTGGGATGATCCCCATCATATGGGGGTCATGCAGGTTCCCCTGAAAAACACAATATGTTTGAAAAGCCAAACAAACATGATCTATCACTTAAACACCAACACACCTACCTCCATGGTGTGAGTCTTTCCTGATGATGTCTGACCGTAAGCAAAGATGGTTCCATTGTATCCTCCCAACACGTCTGAAACAACCAGAGAAAAATATAAACTAATAGAAGATAATGCAAAAATGCATAAAGGCAATCTGAAGCTTTCCTAATTCTGATTTCATCTGATCTTATTATTATCTTAATATCATTAGGATTAGGATCAGCCTCACCTTTGACGATCTGTTTGGCACAGGTGTCATACACCTGAATCTGTTCAGTGCTCGGAGGAAAGACTCTGTCGAATACATACGGCTTTCCCTGAAACACAGGAAAGCTATTTAAAACTAAGACATAACAGCGCTGTTCACATACAGGAAACACATTGTAAAAATAAGAGTTTTAAACACGCTGGCTGCAGAAGGAGCTCTACATGGATCTTTAGGTTCTAGAGTGTCCAGGATTTTAAAGTGTTGAGTCTGCTGTAGTCGCTACATATATAGCTTTCCGTGAAACACTCTGGAAATGCTGTCAAAAAATAAAAGACTCCAGTTTTCTGGAGAAAGTCTCTTTTCAAAATAAAATACTACCCCTAATGGAATAAACGACAAATAACAAACCCATACCAAAAAAATAAAAATAAATTCAGTTTTTCTTAAAATTAATAAGTTGCCTTTATAGAAGAGCAGCAGCAGCAGCAGCTAGAATTATTTATGGCTACAATTATTTATGCCACTGGCAGATTTCGATTTAAAAGTATTTTGATTTATCCAAGAAGTTTGTTTCTAAAGGAAGATGAGAGATATCTCTCCAAAAACAATAAAACAATCTAAATATTAGTAAAATATTCAAATATATATTGTACTGCACAGTTTGTTAGCAAACGGCGTGTTGAAATTTATTTACACCGTTTTCTATTTTTAGAGATATTTAGTTTATTCAGCTTTAACGATTAGCTGCAAGTCCTTAAAGTTGGAAAGCCTCTTTGCATCATCCTGATCTTTAGATTCCTCCATAGTACAAGTCAGAGAAAAAAAAAGATTAATTATTTCAATTCAAATTTTGTTAGTTTTTTTAATTATTTTTTTTAGACCTAAATGTAAGGCAGATCAAAGTGTAAAAACATAGTATGAGTATGCCGCCCTGGTTAAAGCTGATATGCTCACCTGAACTGAAATCATTTTGTTTTTTTTTTGTTTTGCCAAATTAAACACTTGTTCACTCTGTATAATATGTGTGCTTTTTTAAACACAATTCTCCCTCAGAGATCCACTAGAAAAATAAAACCAGACTGTAAGTCTGATTGTTTGTGTGTCTTCTTCTGTCAGTCTTATGAAACCACTATAGGCTGCTGACATTAAACTGATCTGAGGGCAGTTTTGAAGGTTTATCAGCAGCCAACAGATTCACAAATGCCAACTTGAAATACCATGAAGCAGACACAGTATACTACAGGACATGGATATCCAGTACAGCAATAATAAAAGCAATATTTAACATCAATAATCTGGATCCACTACAGCTTGCATCCAAAATCCTGCAAATGTTGTAAGTTGCATTTCAAAGGCTCTTATTCAAATACGAATGTTGGTCTCAACTGTTTTTGTCAGCTTTTAAATGTTTAAGATAAGAAGGTCCGAGTTGTAAACTGAGAGACTGTTAGCATTAACCTGCGGCTCTGCGGGAGGCAGAAAAACATTTTTTGAAGAAAGGTTAACAAAAGGACCAGACAGAATATGTGACAATATATTTTATGTGGTCTCTACTGAAGTCCCCCAAAATGCATAAATAATAAACTAGTCAGCATTCTATATCTATTTGCTTCTTTAAAAGAAAGCATGACCCAAAAACCTCAAAACAGATTATTTTTGTTCCAGTTCTTTGATGTCTCCATACAGATAAAGATTTTAGGTGTTAGCATCTTTCATTTATATATACTTTGAAAACTATTATGTCTAAAAATTTTGAAAACTATGTGATTCATTCACATTGAATTCAGTTTGCTCACCAGCCTAAATAATAAATGGAGGTTTTAAAATTGACAAGATCTGACTCTTAAACACCTGGAAAGGTGGAAGGGTCACACTGCAATCTAGAAATAAGTAACAATTTCTCAAATTAGGTGTATTTCTCCTTAATTTGAGCAGGTAAATAAGATGATCTGCCAATGGAATAAATATGTTTACTCATAAAATAAGAATAATTAAGATAATTAGATAATAAGCACTCAAAATAAGACTATGCAATTTTTTTTCTTATTTTAAATTTAAATTATCTTGTTCCATTGGCAAGTGTCTGACTTACCGCTTCACTTAAAGAAGTAATGTTCTTATTTTAAGAAGATATTACTTTAAATACTGTATTTGTTTTTTTGTTTTTGTTTTTTTTTTTGCAGTGTGGCTTTTAGTTCAACTTCTCTTCTGCTTTTACAAAAACTCAACCACATGTTAAATTGAAGGACTTTTTGAACACTTTTTTAATTATTATTATTCTTATATGGGGGATTGAAGATTATTTTAAAAAAGGAGGCCTGCTCTCACACAAGTTTGCACTGTACATTGAGTTGTTTAGAGCATATTAAGATCTCTTTATTGTTAAGAAAATTGGGTTGTAAAAAGCCTTCTTTAAAGTATCAAGTTATTGGTGTGCATGTTTTGTGTTAAAAATATTAGAAATTTTTGTAGCACGTTTATGGGTATTGTTTTTTTGTTTTTTTTTAACCTATTTCCCCAATATCTGCAAGGCAAATATACCTACTGTTGTTAACATATTGGCACTTTGACCTTGATCATGGCCTTAATGTCTCGAACATTCGACGAGGCACGCAAAAAAGGGAAGCTGCATATTTTTGCGTGTTTCCTGTTTTAAGTCAAAGTTCCATTCTGCTAATAAATAACTACCTTCAAGATACACAGCTAATATGGCTTTATAGACTGTACTTGGAAATAAGTAACTTCTTAGTACCGGTAACAGGTAACTAATACCATAACTAACTTGGCTCAAAATACAGATATGACAAAAACTGTTCCTATCTGTAAGATTGCTATAAAGACCGAATTCACTTTGCGTATGCGTTTGCAGATAATGTTACTGTTTTTCGGGTATTGTTAAAATCCAACAAGCATTAAAAGAAATAATGAATGGATAATGCAGCACTTTCTTCTATAAACACTTGAAGTTGGGAAATCTGCCAGTTTCATTTGTTTTCTAAAAACCCCAACATTTGCATGGGGTGCTGGACTCACCCTGCAGCTGGTACTCCTCTCAGCCACAAATAACCGTAAAAGCTCATGAAAGGTCAGCTGACTCTATAATGCAAAGGTGGAATGAAGCCATGGCAGACAGACGGTTTGACCATCTGGCTGCTCAAAAGAAGGCTGAAACGCACCAGGACCAGTGATGTGTCAGATCCTGCCTTTAACACACATTGGACAGTTTATCCTCAGTAGATTTTTACCCACAAAGCTACAACTGCTAGTAATGTATAGAAATGATAAGCTAGACAATATGCATTGAATGTAGGGTGCAACTAACGATTATTTTACAAATTCATTAATCTTTTGATTATTTTTTTGATTTATCGATTAATAATTGGACAGTCAAAAGTTCGTTTAAGAAGATTTTTTACAAATATAAACCAGGGGAAACTAAACTTTTCCACCTGAGGAGTTCTGGATAGAGCATATGACAGAGGAAAACATTTTTTAATCTTAATCTCTCTAGATTTTTTTTTTTTACAATTTTGACATAATTACTGCTCTAAGTGGTTGCTCCATCAGCTAAAGGCATATTTTACCGTTTCTACAATATCCTAACTTGGTTGACGGTTATTTTAAAAATTGGTTCATTGTGATTACTCCGATGAATTGTTTCAGTCCTACTGATTTGAAATAGACTTACTGTGATCACTTAGATTTCTGCATGACTAAATATCTTTTTTGCTCGGTTTTACCAAAGTTTTTTTATTAGAAACCAAGCTGAAGTCATGTTAGTTTTTATGAAGGAGCAGAATTAACATTGAGGATCTGTTTTTTGTCTTTAGATAAACTTGATTACATTTTCCATAGAAAAATGCAGCTGGAATCACAAAACCAAAAGAAACAGAAGCAGCTGATTACAATGAAGCACTGAAAGCTTCATCATGTCACTTGGCATCAACTCACAAACTCAGAAAACATCACCATTGTTGATCAAGGACACCATACCATCACTACTGTTTAAAAGGTTTTACCTGACTGATATTCGAACTATACCTGGATCAGATATCAGCTCTGATATTGCCTAATTAGCTGGATCAGATATCGGCAATTTGATATTGGATATCAGAGATCCAATCCATTGCACTTTACAGGAAACTGTAATTTTTTTTTCTTTTTTTGCTGCTTATTTGTTAATAAATACTATAAAGTACATCTATATCTGAGTTTGCTTCCTTGTTTTAACAATATTAATGTCAAGGTTTAAGCTTTCACTCACATGGCATCCATTCAACAGTTAAATCTCATTAGTATCAAATATCTCATTGGATTGGAGAAAAACTGGATCAGTGCATCAGTGTTGCCTTTTAAACAGTTGGTTTGTGACGTCTGGACGGTGCTTTCACTTAAAGGCACAGCCCTCATATGTTCTATTAAAGCTTCTGATCTGAATAGTCCAAATCACTTTTCTTTCCACTGGTATACTCTTGGGTTGTTATTAGGTTTGCTGTTTTCCTGCAGTATAGATCAGTTTGATTGAATTCATATTCTAATTCAAAGCCAGCAGTGTTTGTTGGTAAGTTAAAATAAACTTCAGTCCTCCAGATTTTTTTACTTATCTTTTGATGGAAATGCAAAATTTCAATAAAGATTAGTCTGAATTCCATCCATCCATCCATCCATCCATCCATCCATCCATCCATCCATCCATCCATCCATCCATCCATCCATCAATCTTTTATATTCAGTAATCTTGAGTCAGTGTCTTGCTGCAGGTCTGTCTGCTTCAATAAAAGGCCTGTCACCATGGTGACTGTATTTCTGCATCCCCAGGGAGACGACTGAGATGACTGGACCAATGAGACGGAAGAAAAATGATTGCTGCTAAACGATTCCAGGCACATAGAGCTTAGATATACATATTCAGCTAAACACACAGACATGTCATGTCCCAAAATCCTTATGAGGATTTTGCATGGACATTCCTTCTTTTTGCATTTATTTGTATGGCCTAAAACAGACCATTACCCGGACACTCCCCATTACCTAACTTTAATTCAATTCTCACCTCAGTCCTAAACCTAAAACTCCAACCCAGTAAAGCCGCGGTTCTCAAAGTGTGTGGCGCGACCCACTGGTGGGGAATTGAGACGTGACAGGTGGGGCGCGCCAAGTTCCGGTGTGTGTGTGTGTGTGTTGTGTGACTATAAATGTAGAACGTGTGAGAGCAAACTGTCCTTATAGCTGCATGTTGCCGCTTTTTAGACCAATCAAACCCACAAAGTAATCATTAATAGCCTACATGCAGTCTAATTAAAAGAACATTAGATATGAGAAAAATTTCACCTGGAACTGAAGTGCCAAAATAATGATTGACGTGACGTCGGCATATTATTTGTAACGGAATAAACTTTCGCGCCCCAGTGTTGCCAACTCAGCGACTTTGTCGCTATATTTTAGACCCCTCCAGCGACTCTTTTTTTAAAAAGGGACTAGCGAAAAATTAGCGACTTTTGGAGACTCTTACGTGAAAGCACGTATCGTTCCTTTTCTTGTCCTCCAGCGGCAGGTGCTGCCGTGGGGCGCCTCCTCCGTCCCAACCCCGTTCTCCCCCGCTATCGCAGGAGTCCCTCTCAGCGCTGCAGAGACACAGCATGTTTACCCTCAGCGTCCAGACTGCAAATAAAGCGCACATGCGCCGGGATTGACGGCGCAGGTTGATCATAAGTAACTGAATTTGAAATATTTTTTCTTAAATAAATAGGACCAGTTTATTGAAATGACGTCTGACTCCACCCTAAGGCTCAGGTTTAATGCTCAGACTAATAGTGAATTCTGGTTTGGAGTGGAGAGGGAGTATCCACTCATCGGGCAGAGAGCTGTGTGCATTCTTCTTCCCTTTGCCACATCATATCTCTGTGAGATGGGCTTTTCAACTGTTGCTTCACTGAAAACAAAATACAGATCTCAGCTGAACATTGAGCATGACTTGAGAGTGGCAGTATCAAGCCTGCAACCCCGTTTTGAGAAACTGTGCAATGCAAAACAGGCTCATTGCAGCCACTAATGCAGGGATAAATAGACCTGTATTGCCAGATGGATTTCACTTCTTTTCTTTTATTAACAGATTGCAGAGTGGCACTTTAATTTTTTCTATCTTTGAGCTTGATACAAATTTTGACACAGCTGCATTTTTATTTTCTTTATATTTGAGCTTGCTGTTATTTGATGTAGATAGTTTGTATTTAGATACTACTTGTTACTTCAATAAAATTGGAAAATTTTAAGATTGTTGCATATTTCATTAGCATTGTGTTGGGGCGATGGGGACAGGCGGGGCTTGAAAATTCCCCCTTGTCCAAAGTGGGGAATGACAGAAAAAGTTTGAGAACCACTGCAGTAAAGGAACGTTTCCTAATGTGAACCAGACATGGAAGTCCCCAAAATTAGAATACTACTGGAAAATGTGCCTTACATTGTCTGCACATGGTAACAAATACTGACCACAAACACTCACATGCACCCACACACTCAGTCAGCTCAGTCTGTTCTGTCATTTTGACTGAATCTATTGGCAATGATTTTTCTGTTAATTTACTGCTGCTGATCACATGACCTTTGTTAGCCTTCACCTGCTGTCATGGTAACAGGGTATTTCCCATGAGGGGTTTCAGGGACACCATTCCTCCTTTTGTCTGAATGAAACCTGTGAGGGATGATTGTTTTTATCATGGGCATGTGGGGTAAACCCTAAATGTTCTCAAGAGCGAAGAAAATGTTAAGAATAATAACCTGCACCAATCACCTATATTCCTCCAGAATTATGTTTATTTGAAACAATTTTTTTTTTTTTTTTTTTTTTTTTCAAACATATGGATTTAGACTTATTCCCTCAAAGGGAATTGGAGGCCCTGGAAATCCTTTCAGTAAAGCACAACATAACACCACCACACAGAGTACATCATAAAAATACTGTACATGGCACAACATACAGTATCAATACAGGGCATCTTCAGCAAAGCCGTTTTTTGTGTGCAAAAGTTTACAAACAAACTGAATAAAACTTTCCAACTGTCATTAAAATCACTGAAATGTTCTGTTCTTAAGCCAGGTCATTATAACTATTTCATATCTGCCTTATTATCGTCTGCCTATTTTTCCTTAAGGCCTGACTAACTGGGACGGTCATCCTTTTCAACAATAACATTTCTGTAGACTCTCAGATCTAATTCATTCTGTTTCGCAAAAAAGCAGCAGATTCATAATTACTGTAGTAAGTAACCCAATAGTTCCTGTTTATTTGTTTGTCTTTTCTTAATGTTTTCCACGTCTCAGACTGAAACTGCTTTTATAATTCACACTTTATCACTTAAAGTAGACACCAACATGAATGACTCTGAAATGTTGCTTTCATCTTTATTCTGTTTGATTTTTGAAAAACATTAAACTGTTAGCATCTAGTTAATCAGTAGCTTATTGTTACTGATTTTACAGAAATGATCAGTATTAGACATCGGCATCGGCAGACCCTTTTCACAGGGGCCCATTGTGCATTGGCGGTGCATGGGTATGCCTGGGGCACTGATTTTTTAATTAAGTTTTCACAGCTTTGCTGTCACAGCGGAATTAAAAGAGGAGAACTCTCTAAAACAAGCCAGTCACAATTGATCGACGGACTCACAAAAGTGAAGCCAGCCCAGGACGCTACCGTTTACTGTTAAAAAAATTAACATCCAGCTCTCCTATTTTTCTGGCCATGATATACACACCTCATAGGATCATCACTATCACACCATCATAGGATGGGCCCAAATAGAAATGATAAACACAGAAATGTATGTATACAGAGGTGTTTTTTTGTTTTTCTGTTTACAGTTGCACATTTCAAGTTTTTCCATTTTCAAGTTCATGTTTGCTGACAGATATTTAATGGAGATAAATTGTGCCTTCATCAGTAGTGGATTAAAGATATACAGTTCAGTTAACAAGTGGGCCAATTGAATTCAGTTTAGTTCAGGTAGATATTCAAATAGCAATCGGATTGTATGATTCATTTGTTATGATTTATAATACTTAATAGGGGCTATAAAATATTTGCTCGCATGCTTGCATTCATTTTCTGTGCTCATGCTTTTTTAAAATAAGTAATTACCAGAAAAAAAATTTTGCTTGCTTTTTTTTTTTTTTTTTTTTTGCTGCCCTATTGTGCCCCTGTATAGTGTTGGGTCAGCTGACGCCCCTGCTATATAAGCTGAATAAATAAATGACTTTACAGCTGATTAGATTTATTTAAGTACATAGGGGAAATAAAAAGATAGCCTTGGATATTTAGTTTTTGTTATAGTAGATTGCAACAAAAAGAAATTGAACTAATTGCCTCACTAATGCACATTAGGACGCTCAGCTGTTTGTGTTTCTATTGTTGCTGCACAAACAGGCGCTCCTCCAGGCGCTCGGACTCAGTAGGAGGGCGTGTCAGTGCGGTAAACAGGTTCTGTTGTTTTCTGCCTGGTTCCGGTCGATCAGAACTCACCGCCAACACCACCGTGTCCTCTCCGTTGAATTTAGGGATGAATTTATCCCCGCGGCTCCGCTCCGAGTCACTGAGCGGCCTGAAGCGGCACATCACCTTCACTCCACACACCCCGCACTCTGCAGCCTCCATCCCCGCACAGCCCGCAGCAGCAAAGACAATAACAGAGAGAAAAGAAACAGATCCCCGCTGGACCTGCTGGGATTTGCGGCTCGGTTCGGCAGATCAGACTGATGATGATGAACCTTGGAGTTCCGATCAGTGTCTCTCCATCTGGATGCTGCTGAACATCCCACCTCCTACAGGTCCATTCAGGAGCGCCGAGCCGCAGAGCATTCTGGGAAACGGAGTCCTCAGGATGACCTAATCGATAAGGCCTGACTCTGATCATAACGCTTGAATAAAATTATAACTGGCCTACATCTACAAATAAACTGAGAGGTTTGAGTTCCCTTTATGAATACTTATGCATACCATAGGGGAAAATTCAATTTTCTAGTTATGTTATGTTAGGCCTAGATGATTTTAACTCAAGATCCTACCCATACTCCTACAGAATTATGTCATTTCCCAGCAACAATACTTTAAGGGGAAAAAAATAATTGCCGAGTTGTGATGAAATGTGCTAATTTAACCCTGTGAAAAATAAAAATTTTTTGTCCTGCAAGAATTGGCATTTTTTTATACAAAGAAAAACCATAGGACTGTGTATAATTGTAATAATGGATCCATCTGAGCACAGTCAGTCTGCATGTAGGCCTACTTAAACATTTAACAAAGTAGAGAATTAGCCCTCTTCTGGGAATTTGATCTAAACACGATGCTGGGAGCAGTAAGACCTCAATTGAAGACTGATATTAGGTATGTACAGTAGAGGAAAAAAGTGACACCATTAATAATATTGATAATGTTTCTTTAACAGTTGAGTTGCCTTGCCATTGAAATATGCCATATACATAACTATACATGCTTTGCCTTTCAAGTTCTAACTGACTTCCTTTTGAAGACAAATTCTGTCAACTTCCATTGTGGTGTTTGTTGTGTTGTGACTTTTGTTTAGGAGTTGTGGGTTTTGATTCTGACCTAATGTAACATCATGCCCCTGTATATACGTATACCAATTTTAAAGCAATAGCCAAACACTGTCTGATGCTGTCTGTCTGACGCAGCATAATAATCCCAGGGCGAAATTACTTTCGTTACATTACTCCATCTGTAAAAGAGTGAAGACCAGTTTGATATAACACAATTTCATACCAATTAGGGGGTCCCCGCTCCATCTCGCCATCAGTTTGCAGGTCTACTTAAAAAAAAAAATGTACATGCACAACCCTGTACCCGTTCCTGAGAGGGAACGCCTATTAAATGCGTGTGAGAGTGTGCATGAGCCCATTTCTCCTCATGCACACTCTGTATAAATGCTGCTGTTCACATTGAACTTACAAGCTAAGTTTCCAAAAGAAGATTTGTAATTTTTCCACTATGTCAGGTTTACAACCGGTATTTGAACTTAGACTGATGGTTGTTCACACACATCTTAATAAAAAAAAAGTAGTCAGCTTTCCACAAACATTAGTTTGTTGAAATAGCCTTGAATTAAAGGAGTCTCAGACCTTATCAAAACATCTACAGTAACACTGAAAAACAGCTTCTCAGGCGATAAGGTAAGGCTAACGTCTAGCCTTGTTTAGCAGGTCTTATGCTTGGGTGAATACTTTTGTGCAGTAAATGAAACAAATAAGGTCACATTCAGGTTATTAAGTAGAGGCATAAAAGAAGCGGGGGGATGTAATATTTTTCCCATCAGAATATCTGAAAATAGATAAAGTTTATATTATAACTGGTAAGATATCTATATAAATAGGCAAATATCTATATAAATATATACCTATATCTATATAATTAGGCAATATCTATATAAATATCCCATCTATATAATTAGGCAAGATGACCAAAAAAAGCCACAATGTACTGTATTTCTTAGTATGACATTTTTTTTATTTGTTTAATGGAAACATTTATCATTATTATTTATCGTGTGGTCGTCAAAGATATCCGGTTGATAGCAGAAAGCATGGAAATCTATAGATTCATCACAGTGGTAGTGTAAGGGCTGAAAGAGACATTGGCTTATCTTCTGATGAAAACAGGATGAAGACCAACCATAGACCAGACATTTACATCAAGGGTTGTCGTTTTTTTACAGAGGCACTCTCTATCACATAGCCTAGACTTTGTGACATCATATTTACAATAGCAACTCTATAGTAACTATAGTTGTTAACGCATTCCTTTTTCTCCATACCACCAGGACCACTTGCAGTGTTCCTTCCATGTTAACAAGATTATTTATTATTGGTTTAATACACTCAGTTAGGTACCATGGTTAATATAATTCTGAACTCAGGTGCTTATAATATATTGATTGTAACCTTTTAGATCCTGATTCCTCCTTGAAATGAAAAAGAATGGGAAACGGAAAAAAAAACCCATATATATTCACAACCCTTGGAGAATCTATAATTTCCGTATGAAAAAAAATCACTGTAATACAATAGCAGTTTAAAGCTTTAATGTAATTGAATTTATCATTAATGGGTTATTCACAGTTATAAATATATTCTAAAAGCAGGCATACTACATGCTGGGAAAAGGGGTAACTAACTGCTATCCTCAATTATCTCAATAACATGTTGAAAAATTAGTAAAACCATGCAATTTGTGGTATACAATTATTTGCCTTCATACCTTATTACAGGGGTAAAATATTAACTGAAATGCAGGATAAAAATATTTTCTTTTTTTGTTCAACAACACCCTGGAGAGGTGCAGAATGAGTAATGCAAAGGTAAGGTCTTCTCCCTTATATTATAATGCCACTAATCATTTTGAGGCTTTAGTTACAAGGTACATGGTATAGTACATCATCAGCTATGTTTTGTTTTTCACAGTCAAGAAAAAGCAAACAAACAATAATAATGTTTTTGACAAATTTCTTTTTTTTTCATTACACTCTAACTGAAATTAATATGAAGAAACACATCTGTTTATAGTCATAAACTTTAGTCAATGTTATACAAGCTAGCATTGTCTACAACTAGTCTTGTTGATATAAGATGAAACACCAAAGCATGATATGAAGTGCTCATTTTCTATAAACTATATAACTTTTGCAGAATTGAGTTGATTGCCTCTTCATTCTGTTTACACTCCAGTAATCCTGGTACAGTCTCATGGAAGAGAACATGAACAACATCCAGCTTAACATTTTTATAGTCTTCAATCCATCCTTTTCCTCCAGTTGAGTAGTCAGCATCTCTGGTATGATGCATAAGAACCAGAATCACTGGTTTATTTGATGCTGAGACTAAAAGAGAGAAGAAAATGTATATAATGAAGATTTGGGATTTTCTTTACATGTAGAGACAATCCTCTTTTTGTTCAGATTAATCAGTAATTGGTACACATTGACAGGCATTTAAACACATGAGATCTCCTGAAAACACTGATCAACCAAGGGTAAAATTATAATGTTTTGAAATAAAGGAGAAATTGTAGTAGAGTATTTTACATTAAAGTAATCTAAAAATTCTAATAGTTTTTTTTTTCAAGCTTAAATTAAATCGGAATACTACATGTTGTATCCCAATATAAAACCTATGCTGCATTTGTTTAATCTATGGAAAATAAAGATAAAAACATTAAACTCTTTAAAGCTGACCATGCCAACATTTGACCTCAAGACTAACATCATTAACAGTAAACCTAAGACTTAGAATGTTGAACGTTTAGCTTTCCTGAAAAAAAAAAAATTTGTTTCCACAAGACAAAAATCACACAAGTGCTGGATGGAGTTTTCCATCCCCTGGCAAATGCATGGTATTTAATCCTAGCCTGACGTAGTCCAACTCAATTCTAGTCAGAATATGAGTCTGATACTGCTCCATAGAGCTGTGATTATGGGGCGTGTTTCGAACGAACCAGGAAAAAAAATGCCTCTGCACTCAATTGGATAGACCTACAACCAATAAGAGCAACGGAGTGCGTGACGTATGTTAAGCGAGGCATAGTTGTTGTCCACAAAAATCAAAGCGTGCAGTTGCACGCCTAGAATAAGAAGATGAGACTTGATCGCGTTTCTCTGTTCCTCTTTTAAAATTAATTTGCTGTCGATATCTTCTAGAACAGACCTAATAGCAGAATCTACTCACCTCAACTCTCCAGCGGCAGCCATTATTGTTGTCACCCAAGCACGCATTGGTCACTTGGTTGATTACGTTACTGTTTGTCATCTGTCCATCATCGTATAAAGCTCGCCCTGACAATTTGATTGGATCGCCTGACAGTGGGCGATACAGTAATACTCGCGCTACTATGGAGCAGAGCCAGACTGAACTTCCCCGACCTCAAACTTTGTGGGCAGGACTAAGTTCGGAATGGCACCCAGGCTAATTTAATCCCAGGATGGCTGAACTTTACATATTAGATTCACCTCCGAATCAATATATTGAAAAAAATATATATAAATATACTGTTTAAAACACCCAATAATGAGAAATGTCCACATAGTGCAGTGTACTACAGTACTACAGCTTGAATTCAATGTTTTGGGAATTGCTGAACAAATGTACAAAATTACATAACAGTAGAGTCCAAGAGAATAATATGTCCTTAAACTTGCAATGCACCTGTATATCAGTCAATTAAAAGCTGTATATCAGCTAAACCTCCCTAACAAGGAGAGGACTACTAAGATAAACAAAATCTATTTACCTATTTATTTTAAGGGGTACAGTACATATTAATGAACATACATATCATATGTAAATAAGCTAGCTTGTAGATATTGGCTTATTTCCATCTGTAGTCCCTGTACAGGTTTACCTTGCAAGCAAGATGTCAATATGTCCACCAGAGGAGTAAGGCTGAAGCAAAACAAAGATGGCTGCACTGGTTTGAGCTAGAATTCGCTCTATTTCTTTTGTAAAATGGGCAAAATTTCAGAGAATTTCCTGGACCCAACTACCTCCCCCCTGGTGGATAAGATTTCCTTCAACTCAGTTCAAAACATCTAACTTTCCTGACCATCTTCTGCCTGCCATTCCTGGTCCCCAAAGTCAATTTGCTATATGCACATTCTGTGTAAATAAACCCTTTAACTTTCTTGTTTCTTCTTTCCTGAGAGTTCTGTATGTGCATAAAAATACTTTGGAAAACCATGACACAACCAGTACAAAAGATAACATGATTATGGTGTCTTTCTTAAAAAAAAAAAAAACATGTAACCTAATGCTTCATTTTCAATTTTTTAGGATTCCCGCTATCACAAGTAAAATTAAAAAATGTTTTATTCATTTAAAGTTTAATTATATTGAACATGTTTATTTGCACATTTTTTAGACTTATACATTATTTATAAAACATTATTATGGTCTCTAACTACATGAACCAATAATGTTGAATTATTATATAGAATGAATATTCTTATATAAATCCAAGTGATGCATGTTGCTTTTTTCTTCAAAAATAGTATCTACAAAAAATTATCATATTGTAAGATGTGAAAATTGTGTTTAATTAAAGATTCTTAAATATATCCAATATATGCTAAATTAATTTGAAAGGCTTTGAAAAAAATCATATGAGACCTTACATATTTTAGGGTCATTTTAGAACAACAGTTTATCTTTTTCTGACTTTATCCTTCCAGTCAACTATGTGATAAAATTATGCTCATCAGTGGGACTTCTAAAAAATATGTATATTTTTAGATTTTTTACAACCAGTTTTAAAACCTTACCTGATCTTTTCCTTTGATAAAAAAAAACAAAAAAAAAAAACACTGATTTAATATCTGCTTTTTTAGGGAATGAGCAACCTGACTAACTGAACTAAACAAAGGTCCCTTTTTAACTCGGCCTATTCAATTATGTAAGGAATTAATTACATAGAACCAATTTTAAGTATGTTCTGTCAGATGGTTTTCTATAACTCTGCAGCCCCGAATAACGAATTAATTGCTATCTCTAAATAGAATTTCTATAAAAAGAGCAGTCAATCTGGTGATTGATGTTAGAGTTTTATAAATGTTGAATACATCTGTAGTTCATATTTTCTTTTTCAAGTATAAACATTTCAACAACCAGGCTGTTTCCCTAAACTAAAGTTGCTTTAAGTCATAACTCAAGACAGGAATTTCAGTAGAAACCCTTATTTGGCATCTGAAATTTTAAAATTAAAAAGTTAAAAAATTTAGAAAATCTTTTTGGATTAGGATATGGCTAAAAACTGTGAAGAACAGAAGAATACATCAAAATAGCACTGATCTGCTCACAAATATATAGAGTTTTAAAGTTACAGCACTGACAAAGAAAAGGATTTTCATTACCTCGTGGATCTCCCATAGCCGATTTCACATCTGATCCAACCCGGGAAATAATTGGGCAGAAGACGATGTTGACAGAAGAATCCTCTAGACTTTTTGTCTCCTCAATTACTGTTTCTGACCACAGGCCGTGTTTTTTGCTCTCCTTCAGTTTTTTCATAATTGTCTCATCGGTACCAAATGTCCCTCCACGGCAGAAGCAGTAGACCTTTACTTTGTACAACCCTATAAAAGATTTGTAAGTTCAAGAGCGATTAAAAGTTCAACATTTACATAATAAATACAACAAAACATCAAACAAGGTCATCGTTCACCTTGATTTACGCAACAGAAGCCAAGCTGTAGCCCCTGTACACCAGTGTTCTATCATCTCACTGAAATAATGATCCTACGGTCACACAGAGGGCAAATAAGGACCACAACCACATTTTTTTTGCCCATATGCGACTCCTATCAAACTTTTTCATGAAAATCTAAATGGCCCAATTATAATTTTTTCATCATCTAAAAAAATGGAGCCATTTTCATTTCAGTTTTCAAATCAGATAGGAATTTCAGATTTTCAAATCGCCTGCAGTCTGAAAGGTCATGTGTTTTGACCTTAACGACATTGCCAGGCTCCCAGTGCACATCCTCAGAGATGTTTTGGCAGCAGCAGTCGCTGCGGCCATTGTTAACCCCTATAACCCTACGGACCCACCGGTGGGTCCAGCTGATACGTGACCTCGTAATTTTAACAAACCCCCAGTATTGATGTAAAAAAACATATTTGGCACAGTTTGGTGACATTTTTGGATAAATGTGCCAAAATGGCCTCTCCGCCCAAGAAATTTCTCACTAATACCATCCTAAAATAAATATGATTCATCTGATTGAGTCCAAATTTGGTATATTTTTACACAACATTTAGATTTAAAAGTCTGTACTACTTTTTTGTGCTATAAATAATATTTTGGTAGTGTTTTGCAATGTTTATTTCAAAGAAAATGTTGGCGAGGTTCAAAAAATGCAAAATATTTTGTATTTTGTCCCTAATATTCCAGGCAGGGTCAAAGCTACAATGGTGCTGACACCAGAAAACCATTCTATGACATCTTACCTTTACAGACGTACCAAAAGTTTCTTCTTAAATCTAATAGCTGTGAGGCTATGGGTGATTTACTTTTGTGTGTTTTTGTCAGGCAGAAACTTATTTATACCCCCTGAGGGTGTAAGAGGTTAAAAGCGCTTCTGTTTTTTTCTTATATTCTCCTTTTTGACTGGTGTGCTCATGATACTGTTAGCTCCCATTGCTGAAAACTTTAGGTACAACAAAGCTTTATTGAAAACTTCTAGTGATGGTCACATTGATCATTACTTCCATAAACAGTGCACTGCTGTGTGATGTCAACATTTTCCTTCTACACATGCCTGTTGCTTTAGGTTAATAGACCTTTCAGAATGCTCTGGTGTTCAGTCCAAGGGTGTAGAGTTGATTTCAACTTTGGTAGGGACACTATTGTTCTGATGTAATTGGTCCTATGCAAAATTATGCATGCTCTGTTTTTTATGCTTAACGTGAAAATCAGGGTGTATTTTGTTTAAAGAGAAAAGCAGCATTTGTAAAAATTTTATAAGCACTACACACACTATATGATGTTTATCAATGTTTGAAGCATCATCGGCTCTGATGAATGAGGAATTATTACTTTTATCCACTTTGAAAAGGTTTGCATTTGAAATTACCAGCGACTAAGACAGAAAGAAAATCTGTGCCTATTTAACAAAAATACAGTCTAAATATGTGGATTTATCCTGTTTTTTCTTTTGAAGATATACGATTGTGCAGGGGTAAAACCCACACTTATCTTTTAAATATTCTCTCTGTATCATGAAACAAAGCAAAATAATAGATTCTAAGGGAAACCAAATACATTTATTGTATAGTTACTCTATTTCACCCATATCATGTATTTTATCTTGGGCTGAAACAATTCATCGGAATAATCAATTATTGAAATGTCAACGAATTTAGTAATCAATAAATCGTTAACTGGTATATAGAGACTCTAAAACATGTCTTTAGCTCACAGAGCGACCCACTTAGAGTAGGAATTATACCAATTCCATTACAATACCATTGTAAAAAAATATATAAACAAAAATGTTTTCGTCTCTCAGTATTCTCAGTCCCTTCTACTGCTGCAACAAAGCTGTATTGTAAATTATAAACATGTTATTGTTGGAAGCGACAAGTAGGTCGGTCCAAAATTTTGGTAGGGACATGTCCCTATGGTCCCTATGCAAAACTACACCTATGGTTCAGTTGCATATGAAAAGCTGTGTGATTTAACGTGGAAAAAAAATCAGACTTCAGAAAAAACAAAAACAGAACACAGATCTGAGCATAAAGACCTCCAGTGTGACCATAGTCCAGGTGGATCCGGAAGTGATCTTCTGCAGTACCTTTGTGGTGTACAAGAAATATTCCTAGCATCTCCAGTCCACCATATAATTCTCAGTGTTTTTTTTTTGTTTGTTTGTTTTTATCAAAACCTTTTATTTGAGAAGGTATATTGAGAGTTTTTAGCACAAGTGTATAAATGAATTATATTACATTAGATAATAAGAATAAAAACTTTGAGATTACAAGTAAAGCAGTCTTTAAACTATTCAGTGGATTATGTTGCTTCATATATATATATATATGTTACATAGATAGATAGAATATAGATAGATAAAAGTGAAACTGATGAATGTATAGAATGTAAAGTAATAGAAAATGTAGAACATATTTTATTATATTGTAGGAAATAGGATGAAGAAAGGATAAGATTAAAACAAAAAACAAGACAAATAGGAAGGGAATGGAATTTGAAAGGATTAATAGGAACAACAGGAGAGGAGATAAAGGAAATGCAGAAAGCAGTTATTAAATATCTTAACAATACAGGATTATATTGTAAGATTTAAAGGTATATGTATATATGGATGGATGTATATTTGTGTATGTATGTAGATATATATGCGTATGTATATAGGGATAGATAGATAGATAGATAGATAGATAGATAGATAGATAGATAGATAGATAGATAGATAGATAGATAGATAGATAGATAGATAGATAGATAGATAGATAGATAGATAGATAGATAGATAGATAGATAGATAGATAGATAGATAGATAGATAGATAGATAGATAGATAGATGATTTAACCATCAGCACAGATAGAATATCTACAAAGAAAACTGTTGTAATTTTAACCAGAAAAGATAAGTTAAGCTTGATTGAAAAACTAACACTAAAAATTGCTTTAACAGAATATAACTGTACTAACCCCATGTGAAAGTGTTATACCACGATACATCCTTTTCCGGTTCCTGTCCCTGAACACAGAAATAAAAGATTCAGATAAAGAGAAACAAAGACAAACCAAATCTTAAAAGCTACCTTCTTTATTTTTTCCCAAGGTATAAGCCAGTTGTTATACTTTCTCAAATTACTCAATGCTATAATAATAGTGTACTATTCTTACATCATATTTTGACAAATCAAACTAACCTGCATTGATTTGAATCCTCATTGTTTTACTGTTATAGTGATGTTGTTAATTTGTGTGGGAAAGTTTCTTTTTTTATTTCTTTTATAAAAATTCAAATATCAGTATTTTATTACACAAAATTCTTATTTATTATTTTTTTTATTTATCTGTTACTTTTTCCAGTTTTGTGTTATTTGAATTACTACTGTGAATTTATGAATTTCTTTAATGGGAGGATATGCAAACTTTCATGAATAACTGAATGCTTAAACCCTGAGAAATATCATACAGTATCTTTATATATGGATTTTATAATTATTAACCTTACCGGAGTAGGATTTTCCTTAAAGGGAACATTTTCACTTTCTGGTTTGAGTGAGATTTGCAAATTGAATGTATCCAGGTTAATTTCCATTAGGGATACAATTTCTCTGGAGCAGTATGGACACTTAATGGGAAGATGCATAGCCTCTCCATCCTGAGAAAATACCAAAAAAAACAAACATTCATTATAAAAGTTTGAGAGAAACAGTTTCTCCCCAAATGTACTTTATAAATGTAGGCCTAGATCAAAGCTTAAGAAAGGGAAACACATACAAAAAGGTTAGTTTAAGGGGCCTGAGGGTAGTACTAAATAGGTTTTTAATAAACAAACAACTTTTCAGTAAGCAGGTTATATTTAGACAGTCTGTTTCAGTGCTAATATACTGAGACTTACCACTTGAAACTGGCTTTTGAAAGAAGGCAGTACACAGTTTAAAATTCTCTTAAAGAAACTTACTTTATAATAAAATGTTATAATGAGAAAACAACACTCTGCTTTTCCAATTAATGAATCAATGAACTTCAATTAATGCTTTATTAAATACTTTATTAATCCCAAAGGGAAATTAAAGTTGAAGGGATTTGTTTGGCCTACTTATGTCTACTCTGTTCTACCATTTCTTTTGGTTTTTCATACTCATATTTGTCATCTTCAGTTTTATTCAGGACTGGGTCGCAGGGGTAGGAGTCTCAACAGAGACTAAACTGCCCTCTCCCTAGACAACTCCTCCAGCTCTGCTGACCTGGGAGTGTCTCAGGCTTCCAAGCCAGAAAAGGTGGAGACATTGTCCCTCCAGTGTGTCCTTGGTTGTCTCCTTGCCCTCATCCTAGTGGGACATGCGTGGAACACATCCACTTCAACTTAATTGTATTTTCCCTAAATGTTTTCTAAAAGTCTAAAATTATTTTTTTATATATACTTTCTCAACTATTACATTATATGGGAAGTATATGCAGGATTTTGTGATTTTACAGTTTCACCTGCAGAGAAGAATCTTGTATAGTTAGCTTTTAATGTATTTCCTAAGAGAAATTACATGACAATTCCCACAGATGACCTTGTTACCTTTGCCATTTTCATTGCCCCCTGTGCACAGGGAGAGAGGGGTTTAAGCTCCCAAATTTCAGATTAGTTGTTTGTTATAAAAAGGGTAAATGAGTTGAATTTGTTAAAACTATACACTTCTCAGTTATTTAAGCAGAAAGGGACCTTGTGCTCAGTGAGCCAAGTGATGCTTGGCGACTATTATCAGTTACTCTACTTTATTCCCTAAAACTGTAAACATTAATTCTGATTAATCAATGCTATCATTTATTTTTCTTCATATAGAGGACTTAAGATGGTAATTACTTAAAGTAAAACCTTTTTCTGACAATAAATACCTACTAGTTAAAAGCAGGTGACATAAAAAAAATACATTTAGGGCTAATTTTATGTCTTACTTTGGGATCCATAAAGAATAAATCCACCTTTTATTTTGCTAAAGATATTTGATATGATTTACATATAGTACTTTTCTATGACCTGAGCTGAACCACTACGTCATGTTTTTTCTTAAGAAAATCCCAGTGTGGCTTCATGTGACCTCAGTTTAGATTTAAATACTCCAAAAAAAAAACTTTAAGAACCAGATAGTCCATCATACTGTAAATGTAACAACAGATTGCTGGTTGGAAACATGGGTTGGAAACAGGCTTTGCAAATGTAATGAGACCAATCCATTTATGTTTGTAGATAAATTGTATTTATGTCCTCAGTTCAACTATATAAAGCAGTGTGTGAATGCGTATTGCTGAATTTACCTAAATAAATCAAATAACTATAAACCTGGGAAGTTTTCACATAACAATTTCACACAAAGGTTCAATAATAATCAAACTTACTGGATTTGGCTTTGTCTTAGTGGACATGACCTTCTCAGATTTGAGTGATATTTGACAGTTAAGTACTTCCTCGCCAATCCCTGTAATCGATGCAGTAATTTTGAAACAGTGTGGACATTGTTCCGCTGTTACTTTATCCTGAAAAGATATCATGGAAAGAAATTTCTAAATTGAACATTAAATGTTGAATATTCATATACAATTGAACCCTGGACAGTTTCATATAACAGATTTAAACCTTCTTTCAAAAATCATTAAACTTACCAGGCTTGAATTTTCCTCACTGGACACTTCTTCATTTTCAGGTTTACGTGATATTTGAAAATAAAATATGTCTTGCCCAATCCCTGTAATGGATGCATTTAAGGAAGAACAGCGTAGACATGGTTTAATTGCCACATTATCCTAAGGAGATACAAGGGGAAAAGAACATATCAACATTGGTGCAGAGATTCATCTTTGACATGTTATATGCATATTGCAGAGTTGTCTTTAAAAAAAATCATATACCATTAAACCCTGTAGGTTTATCTTCCTATTGCTTTATACATTGATTCAATTATCATTAGACTTACTGGATTTGGATTTGCCTCACTGGACACTTGAGACACTTTGAGTTGGATTTGAATGTTGAATGTATCCTGGTCAACTTTCGTTATGGATACAATATTTCTGGAACAGTCTGGGCACTTCGAGGACAGATTGTTCACCCCTTTAGCCTGAGGAAATACCAGAAAAATTTAATATTAAAAGTTAAAGGGAAAACAGTTTTTCTCTCAAACAACCTGAATATGTAAAATTTCTGTACCGACATATCAATCACATATGTCTGCTTTATATTTATATACTGTATTTGACCTCATGGACACTCCAAGAATAAATGGCATTTTTTCTTACTGGTGATAATTCACTTGATGTTCCTGCAGTGCTTTGTGATGTGTTATTTTCCTTTGCCTTGTTTTCACCTGAAGAAACAGGGTTTAGGTTGTTAGATGGAAAGACAGACTCAAGATGTATAAACAGTTTTCGGATGAAGGTTGTGACCACTTTATAGCACCCTTCTGACATCTAAGACCATTAGGAACAAAATTATCTGGTCTTCACACAAACATTGAACTTGATAGTCAGAAGGCCAGGCTTCAGAATTGGAGAAATCTAGACACCACTCATCACAAGGATAAAACCATGGATGGATGGATAGTTGAGTGTAAGGAAGGAAGTTTTGCTCCTTCGTTACAAGACTATTATAAAAAAATAAGGGAAAACAAAATGAATACGCTACACTGAATAACAAAGATGTTGACCAGATACTTTAGAGCATGGCACTGCTTTTCCTGCTAATGTATCTTTATGTCAGTTTGATTATTCTTTTTCTCCTATTCACAAAGTAGTTGCATGAAAACATATGGCTGACTTTATATATGTTTTGCCCCTTCTACAGATGAGCTGGTGTCTGAGGGTTGGCGGCTTATGGATTCTTTTTAAAAGATGGCTTTGAGATGGAGTGGTTCAGAGTTTGATGTATTGGTAAAATGCTGTAGTTTTAACACCTCCAGTTTGATTAAACTGCACTCTCTGATGATCAAAACACCACCTGTTATTACGAAAAGAAGAAAAAAGATAAGCAGTAAAAATTGGCTAATGTAACCAGATACTCACTGCTAGATTCATCTGCCTTTGTTTCCTCCTGGTTATGTTGATCAGTACCAGGAGCTTCGCAGGCATTACCCTCATTGGATGCACCTGAATATTAAAGCACAAACAGTGAACGGATAAGTGCTCGCTTTGATGTCAAAGGAATAATTGGGTGATAATGTTACAACTATTGAACAGGTAGGTCTTCCAGTTTGAGCAACAATGGAACACGAGTATTGTCTTGTCTTTTTACTTTTGTTAACCAGAGAGAAAACCTTGTATGATATGCAGGTAGACACTTGAATACCTAAAACAGGCACTGGCTAAAATATTTTCAACTGAGTAGAAACTGCTGGGAAGGCATTTCTTATCTAAAATGTAAAACATTTTTAAAGGTTATGAATCAAATCAAGCTTTAAAATCCTATTTCGATGAGAAGAAAATGAGGAAAAAAGACATCAGCTTTTCAATTGACAATATAATGACCAAGTTATTTCCAAAAGGCCAATCAAAGACATTCCTACAAAAAATATAAGTAAACAACAAAAATTTAAGCAGGTTTTTTTTTTCTATTTTGGGGTTCTCTCTGTCTCTCTTTTTTTAAAACATACTACATAGCACAAACAGGAGGCACAGAACCAACTACACCAAAAATCAAAGAACAAAGATCATCTGATATTTTTTCTCACTGCAGAAATCCCCACAGAGCTGGAATGAGAATGCTAAGTGTTACTTAATGATTTGTGGCCTTTAGCTACTGATTCTAGATGCACACAAAAATATGAATATCAATTAAGCATTCAACTACAGATACATATAACTACAGTTCATAAGGGAAGCATAAACCCACCTTTTATTTAATTTTAAGCGGGATTGTAGTGGACATCCACCTAAAGCATTAAGTTTATCTTATGCTTCCACAGTCAGCTCCATTTATTTTAAGGATTGGCCTGAAAAAATCAGTGCTTTTAAAAAAGCATTATCTTGCTGCCCTGTAGCTCTGCAGATCTAATCAACACAGATCGTCTAAGCAGCATATGCATAACGGAATGGCAGTTAAGGGTGACCAACATTTGGGGATACATTTTTAAATTTAGTAAATTAGATATGTATTTTATTCTAAAGGGGAAAAAAGTAAAACAAAAATTGTACCACCCTTGTGTTTTTTTGTTTTTGTTTTTTTTTTTCATTTGAAACCTTAAATTGTATACCTTAAGAAAAAGAAATGGAACAAAACATGACTGGTCAGGTCAATAGTTTTTTCACATAATAAAAACTGTTATTTTCTGCTTTTTTATTTTCTCCTTCTCAAACAGCATAAAAACTATACTCTAATACAAACACAGGTTAAATTCAACAATAATTGTTGAGTTAGAACTATAATCTGATTTTGTACAACATGCTATATTTAAAAAAAATATTGAAAGCACATCTCTGTAATTTGATGTAGAGACCGTCCACTTGCACACATGTTGGTGATCATAAATGGCAGAAGTCTAGAAAAAAGAACTCTATAAATACTTTGGGTGTATCATTTAGACTTATCTGTTTAGAAGGAAGCCAAGAAGAAAGGAAAAAAGCACAAGGGGGCAACAGAGAGCAACTAAAGTATGCTTGAATATAATGGAAAATAAACCAAAGATCAACAAAACAAAACAACTGATATTTGAAAACTAAAAACTCAGAGACCCAAATGGGGAGATCTAAAACATCTTTATGTCAGTTTGATTATTCTTTTTCTTCTATTCAAAATGTAGTTGCAGGAAAACATATGGATGACTTTATATCTGTTTTGCCCCTTCTACAGATGAGCTGGTGTCTGAGGGTTGGCGCCTTATGGATTCCTTTTTAAGGATGGCTTTGAGATGGAGTGGTTCAGAGTTTGATGTATTGGTAAAATGCTGTAGTTTTAACACCTCCAGTTTGATTAAACTGCACTCTCTGATGATTGAAAGACCACCTGTTATGAAGAAAAGAACAAAAAAGATAACCAGTAAAAATTGGCTAATGAAACCAAGTACTCACTGTTAGATTCATCCGCCTTTGTTTCCTCCTGGTTATGTTGATCTGTACCAGGAGCTTTGCAGACATTGTCCTCATTGGATGCACCTGGGTTTTAAAGCACAAACAGTGAAAGGGTAAGTGCTTGCTTTGAAGTCAAAGGAATAATTGGGTGATAATGTTACGACTATTGAACAGGTAGGTCTTCCAGTTTGAGCAACAATGGAACACGAGTATTGTCTTGTCTTTTTACTTTTATTAACCAGACAGAAAAACCTTGTATGATATGCAAGTAGGTTTGACACAACGTAGAATACCTAAAACAGGCACTGGCTTAATTCCTTTCCATTGAGTAGAAACTGCTGGGAAGGCATTTCTGATCTAAAATGTAAAGAGTTTTAAAAGGTTATAAATGAAATGAATCTTTAAAATCCCATTTTGATGAGAAGAAAATGAGGAAAAAAGACCACAGCTTTTCAATTGACAATATAATGACCAAGTTATTTCCAAAAAGCCAATCAAAGACATCCCTACAAAAAATATTAGTAAACAACACAAGTTTTAAAAAATGTTTTGGTAGCAGAAACAACTAAACTAAAGATCAAAGATCATCTGATATTTATTCTCACTGCAGAAATCCCTGCAGAGATGAGAACGATAAATGTTACTTAATGTTTTTTGGCCTTTAGCTACTGATTGAAGATGAACACAAAAATATGAATATCAATTAAGCATTCAACTACAGATACATATAACTACAGTTCATAAGTGAAGCATAAACCCACCTTTTATTTAATTTTAAGTGGGATTGTAGAGGACATTCACCTAAATCATGAGGTTTATCTTATGCTTCCAGTCAGCTCCCTTTATTTTAAGGATTGGCCTGAAAAATTCTGTGCTTTCAGTAGCATTATCTTTCTGGTCTGGTATGGTCACCAGTTTTTTCGCATTTTAAAAACTGTTATTTTCTGCTATTTTCATTTTCTCCTTCTCAAACAGCATAAAAACAATATTCTTATACAAACACAGATTAAATTCAAGAATTCAATTCTAAGAAAGACGGACTCTATAATCACTCTGGGTGTATGATTTAGACTTATCTGTTATTTCAATTGTAAACTTATCTGAAGAGAAATTGTTTTCATGTCGCACGTATATATTCTATCAACATAAAAAAGGAAATATTCAGCAAAGAGACAGATGGAAACAATAAACAAGCAAAGCTTACCATCAGAGCTCATGTTGTTCTGATCTTCTGTTAAAGTGTTCTACAGAGTGACTGAAATGGAGTCTGTATAAATACCTCCCAACACCCCATGATCATGTGACTTACAATAAGGTCTGCAGCTTCTTGAAAACAACAGCAACTACTTTCACTTCACTTTACTTTCACTTTCCATCCTATCTTGCAGATGCGCTTTAGTGTGTGATTGGTTTACCCTCAAAAACATGACTAAGCTCACTTTTAAAAGGCATTTTAGGGATCTGGGGATTAATCCCAGAAGGGTTCAGTACAGTGGTTTGCTGAACTCACTGTTTGAATTATAGTTCTTAAAACTAAAAAATATTCATAACCGTAAAAATATTTAAAGCTTTTAGATTTATTAACATGTGCTGATAGCAAGGAGGTATTCCAGCCTCAACTCAGATCTGGAGTCTATCAACAAAGACAATTAATTAGAGTACCAATGGGTAAGAGCAGAAAAATAATCGGCAACAATCAAAGTTTGATATCTGAAAAAGAAGTTAGGTTTTCTACATTGACATCAGAGAAAGGTGAAACCAATCCCCAGTACAATATTTAATAAAATATAAATAAGAACAAATATAGGAAAATCTCATTTCACTTTTTTTTTTATTTTTTCTTATCAGAAACTAAAATATTTACTCATGTCTACTATTGTAGACTTAAATGTGCTAGGAGTATACTACATAGTGCTTACGCCATTTTAAATGAGTGTCCAAAGGTCTAGTGGATAAAAAAAATAGTGGACTCAAAATTCCCCACAATGCACCTTGAAAAGTATTGTGAAAGAAAACAAAGATGGTGCATGGTGCATGCTGCATGCACCGTGCAGGAAGCCAGAGTCACATAACCAACTACAAAAATCATCCTGCAGAGCATGGTATGGCCTTGAAAGTGAAAGAGACTTTTATAGTGAGTAAATGGGATAAATTAATATATAATAGAAGAGAAATAAAAATGTTCCGACAAAAGAATTGAAACTGGACACATCCGGCTGCAGGCAACATTGCTACAAACAGTGCCAACACCGAGCAAATCGGTGTCCTGACTTATCAAAAAGTGAAAGTAAGAACAACAAGAGAAAACATGGTCGTTACTCAGAAGTCATGTGAATTCATCAATTATGGGTGTATTAAAAGAGAGGTTGATACATTTCATTAAATTTTAAAGAAAAGTAATCAGTGCTGAAAAATGATAGGATTTCTCCATGAGTAATTTGTCTAAAAAAGAAAAATACATACACTTTTTGCAGCCAGGATGTGTGTATTTGATAAGAGTAGGTCATATGTTATCTGCAGACTGTTGTGTAGCATTTTAACTTTTTTTTTCATCTGCTTATGGTTTAAGAAAAACATCAAGAAATGACCAGCTGATCAGTAATTATTGCTTCTGACAAGTAGAAAAGCTATTGACTAACAGTTTCAAATTAAGTTTTTGTGACTTTAGCTGCAATGTTTCAGTAGTATAGAGAGATATGGGAAAGACGTGCAATAACTGGAACCAAGCAGTACTCTCTGTCAAGTACTTAGCATCTACATATGGTGCACCTGTGATATAAAAGAACTATGCAGCACACCTTAACCCAGATTTTAATAAATCTTCTAAAAAGCCTATTCTTGCAACTCACTATTCTTTTTTTCTCGTTTTTTTCTGTTCCGCAGGACAATAGCCAAACAACATAACTTTCAGGGTTTGGTTCTGTTTGATTCTTGGTTGGTTGTTGTGGTTCCTCCATGGGGCCAATAGGGAACGTCCTGACACTGCGTTTTGGCCGGCTGCTGTGTCCTACCTGGGTGATCTCATACAGTTGGATCTAATCCCATCATGAGCTCTGCTTTTAAGAGGAGTAGTATTACCATTTACTCACTGCATGCTAGGAGCAAGTATTCAAAGAGTCAATTGCAATGACCTGTTGCATCATGGCTGCTCTTTACACCTGACTGACAGATGTGTGGCGAGAAAAGAAATTGTGCAAAGTGCTCACCTATACTTTTCTTTTGTTTTTGTATAGCTAAAAGGCAAACTTGTCCAATGATGCCAAGGAAGTGTGGGAAAGATACTGTAGAATAGGCAAACTCAATGAGAGCCGACACGTGCACTGCTCACAGTATGTGACCGTCAAAGATTCAATGCCAGAACAGGAGCTTCAAAGAACATCCTAGAACCTAAGGTTCTAACCCTATTGATCCTCTGGAATTTTATATCTGGCCCTTGGGATTATAACTGGATGTTAGTATCATGGGCCTAAAGTGGGTATGGAAGTATTCAGACCCATTTAAATTTTTTACTCTGTGTCTTTGCAGCCATTTGCTAAAATCAATGAAGTTCATTTTATTTCTCATTAATATACATTCAGCACCCCATCTTCACAGAAAAAAACGAAATCTTTTTTGTCAAATTTATAAAAAAAAAAGGACAAAACTGAAGTTCATATTTTTAAACAAACATTCTTATTCTATCTACTAAGTAGTTTGGACAAGTTATTTCAAGTGTCCTTATGGTTACCATAATTGGGCAAAACCACACAACTTTCTGAAGGACTGGTGGGGACAGTCCCCTCCAATAATCAAGTGAGAATGCATTAATGAATTGTTTTTCTGTTTTGTTTTTCCGTCTCTACGTAGTCCCGCATACTTCAGCCGATTCCAACAATTTTGGTATTAAAACCGTCAGCTTCTTCTCGGGGGTTATGCTATGTCTTTTGGTAATTTCAATTATTACAATTTTTGAAATATTAAGCTTTTTCTGGCCCAGAGAAATGAATGGAAAACTTCAAAAATTCCACTAAAAGTTAATCTACTGTGCCCTTTTTTTGCTTCCAAGTTTAGCTTATTTCTGTATTAACTTTCTGTCCATATTTAACATTACTTCAACTTTTCACCACTTTAATCAAGTTTCTTATGTAGCACTAAGGTGCTCATTCAGTACCACATTCTTCAACATTTTAACTAAAACTTTATTTCTTCGACCAGATAAGATTCAAGTTTTTCTTGCAATTTTATTTTCTGGTCTTGCTAATTTAAAACATTTCAGCCTACATTTTCAAAACTGGGTTAATTTAGCATTCTTTCTGGTCAAGCAATACACTTTTCTGTTTGCTACTAATTCATAACATGCCAGACATGTTTCTGCTGTTGGCTTCAGCTTGCTTCTGCTTTTTTTCAACAAAGAAATTAAGCATTTATCTCTTCTTCTATTTCATTTCTTGGGTCCCCTTTTATTTTTAAAATTTATGTTAATGCCCTCCCTAATGTTTCAGATAAACTTTCTAAAATCTTATTTGCAGATGATACAAGTATGTTTTACTCCCATAAAAACCCTGAAATTTTAATAAAGGTAGTTAATGAAGAACTTGACAAGTTATCCTCTTGGTTCAAGTCCAACAAATTGTCACTTAACATAAAAAAAACAAGTTATATATTTTTTGGTTATAAGTTTGATACATTTAAATCTCAAATGAAAATTCAAATTGATAATACTTTTATTAATAATGTTAGATCTGCTCATTTCCTCTGTGTTATTCTAGATAATTCTTTATGCTGAAAACCTCACATTAGTGCCCTAAGTACAAAAATAGCCAAAGTGGTCGGTATACTAGGAAAAACTCTGCACCTGATTAGAAAAAGTTGCAATTATGATATATTATTCAATGTTATATCCATATATTAATTACTGTAATGTTGCTTGGGCTAGCACCTACCCAACTAAACTTGAATCTGTTTTTTGACTTCAAAAGCGAGCTTTAATACTCAGGCAAGTATTCTTAGTGTTTATCAAGTGAATCAACTTCAAATAGCTTCATTCGTTCATAGCTCTTTAAAAAATATACTTCCCCAGCACTTTTGTAACATTTTTACTTTTAATAATGAATTTAACCAGTATCCAACTCGTAGTAGTTGTCTTATCAGGCCTCCTTACTCTCGTACAACTCAAACACAGTTTAGTGTGATATACAGAGGATCAAGGATATGGAACAGTCTTCCCACATCACTGACAGATCTTTCTAAAGAACAATATAAGCGAAGAGTAAAATTGCTGCTACTAAATTGTCTGAATTTTCCATATAGATTTGTGGTCTAAATTATATTCTAAATTGTTTTATACAAGGAAATGTTGTTTTTGAAATGTCTAAAATGGTGAAATATATTTGTTTTTATGGAGAATGCCACTCATTAAGCCCCTAAGTTTTTCGGCAGTTGTCCATTACATTTTCTTTTTTTAGTGAAACATTATTCTGTTTTTATGTTTTTGTTGTAAAAAAAATAAAATAAAATAAAATAAAATGTCATTTCAGTGGTTTCTGCCATTTTGAGCTTACAGTTTAGCATACTGCATTCTCACAGGTGTTTTGCAGGAACAGCTATTTTTCTAGTTGTAATAGACTTTGGATCTCATTCTCAGCAATATGTGGGACAAATTTCTAAATTTGATTTTGCTGCTCTTGAAAGAGGATAATCACTGATGCAGCTGAAAGGAAAAACATCCAATCGATCTATCCACATTTTTCTGGATGGATTGATGGATGAATGAATGAAACTGAAATTGTGTGTATACTAGGGAGGCACGATATATTGCTGTAGACATCAGAATTGGCTGTTATTTATCCTTTTTTTTATATAAATTAATGTCTAACGACCCATAAATATATCAGTTTATTTTGGTTTTATTGTGTTCTCAATTATAGGAAAGCATTCAATAAAAATACAAACCCTATTGAAAGTGTTTGTGTCGCATAACTGTAGGTCCATCAGCCACCACTCTAGAGTGTCCCCACCAACTTTCATCATAAAGTTAAACCATTGGGCAAAACTACACCTAAATGACAAAAAATTGGCTTGAGTGCAAATATTAATGAATGCAATTTTTCCCATTCAGAAAACTGTTACCAGTTTGGTTCCTGATTGGCAACAAAAAAGGAAATTCGAAAAAGCTTAAATGGTTTTATTTCTTTTATTCACTGTAACAAAGAAGATTTATTGTAAAAAGCCAAAAAATGATTAGGTCATTGATGAAGTTTGGCGTGCATCAGTAGCCGTAATAATAAAGGACTGCAAAAGTTTTCTGTAACAGAAAGTCGTTAC